GTATACTGTGTATTCACTTGGCGTTGCACAATTGAATTTCGTGTAGCACTGACGAAACCTAAAAATCCTATTTGGCCCTGGGTGCTTAAAGGATTGAAAGCCTGTCTTAAGTACTCCTGGCTATACAGACTCTCTTCCTTTCCTCACCATCCCACCCTCATCAGGGCGTTTTTCTGTGTTTTAGAGACCAGAGGAGTTGCGTCAAGACCAACCTGTTTGAGGAAGAGCATCAGAGCAGGGCATAAAGCTTGGCATTTTGTGGCACTTCCAAAGGGGACCGTGGCACTTGCTGTTTAATCTGTCTTAGCTGTTATTGTGCTGTGCTGATTGTATGGTGGGGCTGGGTGGCACAGAGCCACTTTGTTCAGGTTAGTCCTGGCTCCGTGTGGGCACTTATTGAGTTCCCCAGAAACCCAGCAGTGCCTGTGCTCAGTAGTTTTTGGTATTGTTTGGTGTCCTGTAGGTTAGAAATGTGATATGCTAATGCTTTCCTGCTGCTATCCCAGCCTTGGCAGCAACAGAGGCACTGGCCAAGGCAGCCTAACACATTGCTTGCCACCTGAATAAGAACTTAGCCTAGTCACAAGCCTCTTTCACGTGTGGTTTCTGCAGTGTGTGTGTGTGCCAGGAGCTTCCTGATGAGAATTGGAAGGAGTCCCCCAAGCTGGTGTTTGTTCAGGTCCTTTGGGCACTGTTGCTGGATGTGGCTTTACTAGAGTCTGTTTTATTGAAGATGAGCTCTGGGAAGTAACATCTCTGCTACCTCAGTCAGTCAGGTCACAAAGCTTCATCTGCAAAAGTGTGGGTTCCATGTGTGAACAACTTTGAAAACAGTTTGAAGAAACCAGATCTAAAGAAAAGGTCTTAATTATAGAATCATCAAATGGTTTGGGTTTGAAGGGACCCTAAAGATTATCTTGTTCCAACTCCCTGCCATGGACAGGGACACCTTCCACTAGACCAGGTTGCTCTGAGCCCCATCCAACCTGGCCTTGGACACTTCCAGGGATGGGGCAGCCACAGCTTCTCTGGGCAATTGCCCAGTTGCTACGTTGTTTGAGTCCTGAGTAGGACTTTCACCAAAATACCCAAGTCATTGCAGTCTACTGCAGATAAATAGCAACTAGTCAAAACTCTGATTTGCCTTCCGCTCTGCTTGAGAAGACTTGGGTGTGTTTAATGTTCTCTTGTGGTTACAAGCATGCAGGTAAAAATGTCTGTATTAGCTGCAAACATGTTTGGAAATGAGTATGTTTAGAGGAGTAACAAGTACAGTAGGTACTTTTTGTGTATCTGTTGGGTTTTTTTGGGTGATAAGGCCTGAATGTGAAGAAGGGTAAAGAGATCTCTAGTAAGATCCACTCATCTTGGGACATCTATTCATGGGTTGTCACCAGCCACCATCCTGGCAAGGGGGACAAAAGGTGGTTCTCCTGCTCTCTCACTAGTTGATCTCTTCAGCTGTAGGTTAGAGTGAGTCATCTCTGTCATGGGCCATTCTTCTCACTTGTTGCTTCTAAAGGGTCACTCGTGGAATCAACAAACTTTCCCATTTGGATTTGGTGGGACACTCTGTCCATGACAAGTTGTGGCAGTGTGTTCTTCGTCCAGACAGACTGCTCTTGTAACCACATGGAGTGACACGTCTTTGGATGAACATTCACAGCCACCCACAGGCACTTGATTCACTCAACCACATGTGCCCTGAAGTGTTTTTAGTCATTTACAGTGTCTCTGTAAATGGACTCTGTGTACCCCTTTGAAGTATGTTCATACTACAAGGACTTCCATGGTCGAGTAGCTCTCAAGTGAACACAGATTTGGCCTTTCCCCTCTTCTGCCTCAAATGTCAAACCAACGTGTACCACTGATGGACTTATTTACTCATACTGGTAAACCTGTAGGCTCAGTAGGAAACTTTTGACAGGTTCCATGTGATGATGTGAGCGGTGTGCAGGCAGAACTTCAGTTTTCTTTGAGAACAGATTTTGAATTGGATGAAGTTTTCTTTATTACAAGAGGTAGTTCACACTATGGCAGGCTCTGTTCTTGAGTGAACTCGAGCTGATGAAGTTTGATAAAATGATCAATCTTAAAACCTTAATAGCCCTTTAAAAAGGGAGCTGTTACGGTGCGAGGTGTGGTGTGGATATAATTCAAGAAAGTAGGTATTTATCCTTGATTCTTCTCTCATTTTAGAGCAGTCTTAGGAAATTCTTTTTTTTGTATACTTGGTGTAGCAACTGTGGTGTTGTTGCCAATGGCTTGAAATGGGTATTGTGTGTGAAGTGTCTCAGCCTCATGTCTGTACTCAGACAAATTTGGGTTGATGATGCAGCTTTTCTTGGCAAGGCAGGTCTCAAATGGCTAAATTGGAGATTTATTCTTCAAACAACCAAAGAACGCTATTTGAGCAAGTTTGGGAGAATTTACTTTAGTACACAAAGGAGGCAGTGGGAGATGATACTTAAATCATCTGGTTCAATTAAAAAACTGCAGTGCCCTGACAGAGGGTCAGAGAGCACAGGTGGGTCTTCACATTTCACCTACGGGGCAGCTGTGCCAAGGCAAATATGTGCTGGCTGGCAGAGGGCTGGTGCCATATCCTTCAGTGTCCCAGCTGCAGGGCTTGGGATGGACTTTGCATACTGGGGTGACCTGTTTGTGAGTCAGGGGCAGCCTTGGTGAATACACAAATTGGTGCTTCTCATGCAGAGAAACTCCCCTGTGTGTTTGGAACAGGGTCCTCTGGAAGGTACTATTTTGTATTTTCTAGTAACAAAGTAAATTATGTTGTTGCCTTCCCTATCATCTTCCATGTGACCAAAGGCAATGAATGAGCTTTTGCTGCATTTCAGGATTTTATGGTACTATTTCACTGCTATCAGTACTTTTTTTTTTTTCTTTTCTTTATCAGAAAAGAAAATTATCTTAATTACCATGAAGTAACTAATCCTCAGAGCTGTAATCACTGCTGACATAATGCTTCATATTTACAAAATATGAACAATTCAGTTCACCTCTTCACTTTGTCTTTTGAGCTACTGTAAACAGTTTCCTGGAACCATTGTTTAATTGAGAAATTGAATTCTGTAAGATGAATAGTAAAGGCTTTTGACTACAGAGATGTAATGCTTCCTTTCATGTTTTATCCAATTTAGTGATGCACGTTCCATCAACATACTTTAAATTTCAGTAGAATTGTTGGAGTGAAATGGTACAATTATGAAGATACATTTTTTTCATAAATCAGTAGTTGGGAGCACATGGAACAAATATTCTGCTGATTATTTGTTGTGGCTTTAAGTTTCCTAATAAATGGTGAATTGCTACATGTTTGCCTACTTGTATAATCTTTATTTTTTCTGTCATTTTTAATAGATTATTTTTATAGAACCATAGAACAGTTTAGGTTTGAATGGACCTTAAAGATGATTCAGTTCCAGCTCCCCTGCCATGGCTCCAAGCCCTGGCCAACCTGGCCTTGGACACTTCCAGGAATGGGGCAACCACAGCTTCTCAGGGCAACCTGTGCCAGGGCCTCACCACCCTCACAGGGAAGAATTTCTCCCCAATATCCAATTTAACCCTGCCCTCTGTCAGTTTGAAGCCATTCCCCCTTGTCCTGTCACTCCATCCCTTGTCCCAGGTCCCTCTCCAGCTCTCTTGGAGCCTCTTTAGGTCTTGGAAGAGACACTCATCGGTCTCCCTGGAGCCTTTTATTCTCCAGGTCAACACTCCTAGCTCTCCCAGCCTGGCTCCAGAGGAGAGGGGCTCCAGCCCTCAGAGCATCTCTGTGGCTTCCTCTGGACCCAACCCAATCAGGTCCATGTCCTTCCTATGCTGTTGGAACCCAGAGCTGGAGGCAGCTCTGCAGGTGGGGTCTCACCAGGGCAGAGTAGAGGAGCAGAATCCGCTCCCTCTACCTGCTGATCCCACCTTTTGGTCTTTCATACTTTAGTCCTCTGCACATCTTACCTTCCTTTGTCACTTCAAATCTTCCCCGTGTTCGTGTTGGTTTCCAGACTCTCAGGTCAGCCAGCCTTGTTCTGGCATCCTCATTTGTGAAGTGCCAAAATTATACAAACTAAGCCTAAATAAACTATGGAACTGATCTGTACTCCTGATGCCATGTTTTTCTTCTGTCCGATATTTTGCAAGTAAGGCTCTGCACATCTTGATTTCTAGTATTTCTGAGTACCAGAATATCACTCCTCGTGCTTCCAGATAAGTGTATGAAGGCCCTTAAAATTAGATTTGGGAGCAGAAAGGTCACTGCCCAGTACTGTGTATCATCATCATAATGTCATTGAATAAATCACTCCTTGATTTAACTTGAGCACTCCTGGGTGGATTAGCCTGTAATAATTTGCCAGGGGCATTCTCTGTGTTTCTCTTGAAGACCATGACTCAGGGCAGCTTTGCTTACCGTGGGAAACTTTCTTTTGGTTGGAGGCTGGAAGGGCCATATCTATTTGTGAAGGACAGGGAGTGCTTTTGTTACCTTCCCAGACCCATTATGGGATGTGATTGCTTGTGGGAGTGTCTGCTTATGATCTGTTAGAAAACAGCCTATTAATAAAACAGAGGCTCTTGTAATAGAGCACTTCTTAATCTTCTTCCTGTGTGGTTATTTATAGGCTGTGACATCTTAATTTGCCTCTCATGTGCATCAACTTCTGTTACTTTAAAAGTTCAAGTAGCTTTCACAGGCCTCTGAGAATCACTTCTGGAGGAAACTTTTCTGAGGAATCTGACAAAAAAAAGTCCAAGTCACAAGTCTGTTGTGACAAGTGCATTAAGGTTTTTGCTCGTGTCTTTCTAAATGACAAATAATGGGATGTCTTCTTATAGTTACTTATGTATTAATCCTGTCTTTGATTACAAGCAGATTTTCCTGAGTTCTAGTTGCTGATAATACGTAATTTGCCCTTAGTGACCTCCCTGGAGCAATATTAAATCTGTGATTGCCTGATTTTTGTGGTCTTGTTCTCTCTTAGAGTGGTCCCAGTGCCAGATCTTGTCACAAGATGTGCATTGACATCCAGCGAAGGCAGATCTACACGCTGGGCCGTTATCTGGATTCCTCTGTGAGGAACAGCAAGTCCCTGAAAAGTGACTTCTATCGCTACGACATCGACACCAACACTTGGATGTTACTGAGCGAGGACACTGCAGCTGATGGAGGCCCCAAGCTGGTGTTTGATCATCAGGTCAGCCACACTCACACTCCTCCTGCAAGGTCTCGGTGCTGGAGAGTCAGTTTTGATCTGTGATTTAGAAGTGCTGTACCAGGTAACCCAGAGAAGGGGTGAGGAGGGTGTGACGTGCCCTCAGTTAAGTTCTAACAGCATTGCTGTTTAATGCTGGTATTCTCATCAAACTGAGTCAGAAGAATCATAAAAACCTTTGCAAACAAATCCGTTTTATTAAGACACGTTTTATTAAAGCTCAAAGCACGATTCATCTGGTTTTAATCAGCCTCCTTGAGCTGGGTTTGCAGATCTGCCTTCTCAAGGCCATTGGGGAGCAACTTGGAAAGCTGTGCTTGGTACCTTTGGAATAATATTCCAAGCAGGCTGCTGGAATGAGGCCAGCACAAGAGCAGGATTCCTTCAAATTTGGTTATTCCTTCAAATTAAGTTATGTGCTTGCTTTGTCATGATTGAAACACCTTAGAGGAGTGGCTGCTAATCCCTTAAAAAGCCACACCTGTCCACGTGTGTAGACTGACAACTGCTTTACTTATGTTGTGCCTTCACTGGCTTTTGTCTACTGGAAAAAGATATTTTGTTCTCAATTGATTTTGTTATAAAGCATTGCCAAGAAACAGCACATCAGGGCTCATTTTTAAGGCAGTCCAAGATGTGTTTTATTGGTGCTGGCTGTTTTGTAACCAAAGCTGTTGTTTGCCAGCACAATGTGCCTTTCTGCTGACACCGAAAATTAAAGATACGCCATGTCTGCAGAACAAAAGCCAATCAGTCTTTCTGTTCTATTAATAACGAGTACCAGTCTCCAGGTGTTGGGGAAGAGGCACAAGGAAATTGTCAGCTGGCAAGGCCACTCTGGGTACCTTGTTTGTCTCCTGAAATGGTTCCTTTTTTCCCTTTGCCGTCCCCTGTGTCCTCACTAAATTCTTTATCAATCTGCAGCTCTTCCTCTCCCCTCCCTCAGCACCTACTGCAATAGCAGTTTTTATTTAACCTTCAAAAATGTGCTGCACTAGAGGTGTTTTGTGTAGGCTTTGCTGAGTAGCATCTCTATCTTACTGTAATCTTGTCTGTTGGTTTGCTTCCCCCCCCTCTGCTGTTTTGTAATGCTCTGTCTGAAAAACATCACCTGGAGTCAGGGAGTTTGGTTTGATTTGTGCTGCAGTGCTTTTCTTGTGTGCCATAAACTCAAGTCAGGCTTGAGGGTAAAACATATTTCTGCTGCAGTCCCATCAGGAGTCTTTGGCTGGGTTTATGCCCCTTTGTGTTCAGGTGATGGGGGTAACAGTAAAAGTGTGCTGGGGATGGAATCAGAGTAACAAATCACAGGCTGATTTTTGCATCGACCGAGTGGTGGGCAGTGAATTAGCAGGGATTTTGAATTTTTCCGTGGCACAGCCATTGCCAAAGGTGATATTCTGTTAACTCTCTGGCTGAGGATCCTTGTGAAAGACTCTAAAATATTTTTCCCTGAAATCAGCAGCTAGAGATAAGTTTTCGTAGGTGATAAAGGGTACACTTATTATTTTTTCCTTATTAAACAGCACATAGAAATTACATTTTAAATTAATTTTATGAGATTGATACCTGACAGCCATGCAGATGTGTGTTCTTCCCTGTTTGTTGGAGGCTCAGGAGATGTGCAGAGCGCTAACTTAGGTGTGGCTTGCAGGAGAGGAACGTTTAATCTTAAACCTCAGAGTGTTGAAGTTTTCAATGTGCTGGCTTAAAACTGCTTCTCTGGTCCTTGCAGATGTGTATGGATTCTGAAAAACACATGATCTATACCTTTGGAGGCCGAATCCTGACCTGCAATGGCAGTGTGGATGACAGCAGAGCCAGTGAGCCACAGTTCAGTGGGTTGTTTGCTTTCGACTGCCAATGCCAGACATGGAAACTTCTGCGAGAGGATTCCTGCAATGCTGGACCCGAGGATATCCAGTCCCGGATAGGACACTGTATGTTGTTCCATTCTGTAAGTATCCACGCCCTGCTTTGATTGATGATGCCTGACTGTTAAGGAGAACATCTGTTTTTGATTTTTCTTGCAAATTTGAAGCTCTTTAATCGCCTGAGGGGTGTGTTGTCTCACTCAGTTCTGTGTTCGTGGACATTCTGGTGCTGCTTCGGTAAGTGCAGGAGGTACTAATTCAAGTCTTGGGGCTTTCATGAGTTCAGCTGAGTAACATTTCAAGTAAAAAACAAGGTGAGTTTTAATGAGTTAATTTTAGTGGAATAATAGTAAATTGGCCCGAAGGCTATGGTTCAATTTGACTTAAAGAATTGTTCTTTTTAAGTTGGTAGAGCAATTTAGAAGCTTCTGGTCTAATAGATACTCTTACTGGAATGGGACTTAGTAGGTGTGCATCGAGTTGCACAGGCCTCACAGCCCATGGTGGTGAGCCCTCAGCTGCAGTTTGTTGTCCTGAGCAGCTGTTGACAGCTGGGCACAGATGGAATAACGGGCACTTCATCCAGAGCCTGGCGGAAAAGCAGAGGGGTTGGTGGGATGGGGTGTGTATAGCATTTTATTTAGCATTAGGCATTAAACCCCACCTTCCATTACCTTTCAGCTGTGTTCATCAACCACATGTTTATTTAAGAGAAGAGAGTTAAAGAGGAGAATTCAGGAGATGAGAATTAAAATTAATGTTGTGACATTATTTACTGATGCCACCAATTCAAAACCCACCAATTTGAAGAAATTACTGAATTTGTTTCTCTTTCCCTTTCCAATGAAAGATCAGAATTTTTTGAGTGAATACTGGGCTTTCAGAGCCTTCAATTTTATTTTGGTTTTGAACAGCTCTTTAAAATCTGATGAAAAACATATTGCAACACAAAATTCTGCACAGGCACCTGAGGATCTTTCCAGTGTGTGTCTGTGATAAATGTAAGAATACTGGTTTCTGTAAGCACAGGTCGTGGAAGTTTAAGTCCTTTTCTGTTTTCTCAACCATTTGAAAGAATAATAATCTACCTCTTACAGACTTTCCACTTGGCAAACTTGAAAGAAGTAATAAACCTGTTATTCTTGGCTTTCTGCTTGCCATTTGCCTGTTGTGAACTTAGTAATGTACTGGTACCTGGAGGGTTTCTTCTACAGTCTGTCTCTTGTTCCTGTCCTGTTTTTAACAGTGAAATTATGATCTCATGGGTTTTAGACACAGGGACTGTTAATTCTTTAATATTAAACTTGAAAGATGAACTGGTGTTTTAATGTTCTGGAGTTAAAGCTAGATGAGGCAGGGCTACAGTAGTTACAGTGATTTTAAACTTAGAAGAAACATCTCTATTCTTCTTTGATTCATTAATTGCTGCCCCATCCCTGGAAGTGTCCAAGGCCAGGTTGGACAGGGCTTGGAGCAGCCTGGTGTGGTGGAAGGTGTCGCTGCCCATGTCAGGGGATTGAAACTGTGTGATATTGAAGGTCCCTTCCAAGACAGACCATTCTGTGATTTTTATGATTATTGGTCACAGCTGACCAACATAATTCCTTGAATTTTGTAAAGACTTTTTTTTTTCCCCCTTCATTCCAGAAAAATCGCTGCTTGTACGTGTTTGGTGGCCAGAGATCAAAGACTTACTTGAATGACTTCTTCAGCTATGATGTGGACAGTGACCACGTGGACATTATATCAGATGGCACGAAGAAAGATTCAGGGATGGGTAAGAGGAGATCTTCATAAGCATTTCTGTCCATTGGTACAAATGAGAAATAAGTTGTGAAAGGTGAAATATTGTAAAAGGAGAAATATATAGGTGAGAGACCAGGTCCAGTGTCCTGTGGGATCAGGTTGGCATCCTTAACTAGCCCTCCATACCCAAGTAAACTCCACAGTATTTAGGTTAAACTTATGCCAGCTCTTCTGTCCTTTCTGTTATTTGACACTCACCACCTTCAGCTCAATACAAATAATTGATGCATGAAACCATATAGCACCTCAAAAGAATAAAAAAACAAAACAAAGAGCAAAATAAGAATTAAAAATACCTCTTGAAACTCTAGCAAAGACCAAAAAAAAAAGAAAAAACTGAATAAAGTAAGTTTTTTTTAAATCTGGAAAGGAGAAAGTTAAATCTTTATTTTTCTGTTTTCGCTAAGTGAGAGATACCGTAAAATCGGCTTGGTTTGAGATGCAGAAAGGCAGAGAGGATGCTCAGAGACAGAGAATTGGAGGGATAGAAGTTCTTTCAGCTGACAGGAGCTGACCAGAAAGATGAGACTAACCTGTTGTCCTGTTACATTTGTAACAAATATCAGGAAGTGCCAAAAAAAAAAGGTAGGAGGAAGGAGCAAGGCTTCAACTCTGTTTGGTTCATACCACTGGAGCTGTATACCCCAGACAGAGTTCTGTATGACAGAAATCTTTTAGAAACACCCAAAAGGCCTGTAACATAACCATAAAGAACTGATTTTATACCTTTTCTCCTCAAATGACAGAGAAAAATGTTCTTGTTTTTTCAAGAAGGATTTCTGCTTGTATAAACACATCATTTTCCTGTTACAAATACCCTGATTTTCATCATACAACTCAGAATTTGAAGTTGGAGTTTCACTGTGTACTACCATGGGAGTATTTCTCAATATTATTTATATTCAGTCCTGATCTTGTTTTCTCTTCTCCCAGTTACCAAAATCCCAGGAAGCTAATTTATCTTGAATTTAGGCTGCCTTCCTTCTTCTGATCAGGCTTCATTTTTAGCAAGTAATTTTGCTGAATGTTTGAAGTGAATTATTGATGGTTACGAGTTATTGTTTACTTGTTAATCTAGTTATGGCAACAAGGGAGAAAAGTACCCAAGCTCTTATTCTCTGGAGTCATTTATTTACTTGAGTGCTTCCAAGAAGGAACCAGCTTGGATTGTTGACAGTCTCCTTTATTCAGGTGCCTGCGTGTTGCCTGATGCTGCTCCACACACACCCACGCACTGTTTGTTATCCTCAGAGCTTTTAAAGAATTGATTTTCTTTTTTTCCAGGAAATTGCCAGCATTCTGCCATTTTGATCTTTTCAAACTACATTTCTTCGTAGCCAGAAGCCTTAAAACACGTGGCTTTAAGCTGACACCTGTGTCTGCTTCAGATTTTAAAGATACTGAGCTTGTCTTAACAGCTGGAGAAGACACTGAGCTCTGCTTTTCAGAGTATATGAACTGCAAGGCTCAGCTGAGTAAGAGAGACTATAATTTTTAGCCCTCCTCCCCATTCCCACAGGCCCTGAAGTGGTGAATAGAAGATCTTTTTTTTTTTTTTTTGGTAAGAAAATGACTCATTGGACATAATTCACGAGTCGATCTCTCAGTTTACTGTTCTCCTGTGTGCACGGAGTAAACAAACAGATCTGAACATTTCCATTGCTTTTGAAAGGAAATGCTGGAATAATTTGCATTTTAACAGGAAGGGAACAAAATGCTTGTTACGTTCAGACAGCAAATGTTGACAGCACTGTTTTCACCCAAAAAAAGCAAGTCTTTATTGTGCTCTTGTTAGGTACTGATGCACCATTTTGATCTGTCTGAACAAAGTGATTCCCTGCCTGGTCGCTGTGAAGTTTTAAGCTGCTCGGTGTGATGAGTCAAGTTGAGGATGCCTGACCTAAATGTTCCTATAAAGTCCCATGATTACATTTTGTTCCTGGCTCACATGTGGCATTCAGTTCTATTCTTAGTTGAGCTATTTTGATTTTTACCCTTTCTAAAAGAACCTAATTGTGCATTTGTTCGAGTATCTCTTGGAGTAGTGAGAAGATTTTATTAAAAGTAGTAAAACGTATCACTGAGGATTATCAGTAACATAGAGTTGTTGCAATGCTATAAAACTGTGGTGATGATGTGTTGGTTTTGCTACTCTCATCTTCTGGGTGAGATATTTATGCTGTTTCTTTGCTTTTGTTTTTGCCTGTGATGTTGATCTTTCAAGCAGTTCTGTGTAGGGCTGACATGTTTGAAAATAGTGGGTGATAAGTAGCAGTTAAATTTTCTTAACTTGGAGTAAAGGACATAATTTTAGCAAATTTAGACATGGAACTGTGATGATGTGTTGGATGTGAAGGAAGGCAGTAGTGGTGGAAACTGGAGGAAGTTTAGTACTGTTGGATAGAGCCTGTGGTTGGAGGAAAGGCAGTTTTATACTCTTAATCACTTTAAAAAGCACATAAACAACACACAACCAACAAAAAAAATCCCCACCAAGCCCCAAGAAGATATTCCAGAGTGTACCTCTGAAGTACAGAGGGGGTCTAGAGATGCCACCAGTCTCAGGTGTCTCCCCAGGGCTGGAATGACTATTTCTGACTCGATTAATGCACAATCCATGACTAACCATGGACAGTCACTCCATGTCTAAGGAAGCTAATGGGAACACTGTGGTCAAGGTTCTTGTTATAATCCCCTCTGGCCCTGACTCAGGTGGTGTGTCAGAGCTCTTGGTCAGAGGGAGAATGTCCTTCTGCTCAAGAATGCACATCACCTTTTATCCCTTGGCATCGAATAATGTCCAAAGTCAAATGTGAACAAGCCTTAAACCTTCTTGTGGCTCCTTGTAATGGTGGAGCGGTTCTTTGGGCAATCTACAAGTAGTTTTTTAGCTAACAGTGAAGATCCTGCATGTTTTGCTGGGCAGGTGCTTGTTCCAGATACAGAACTGTGCACCTGATGGATGGGGAATTTCATGGATAAGTACCACGGACAGAGGCGACACAGCTCAGCCCAGGAAAGCGTGGTTAGAAACAAGGCAAAGTCAGAAGAACCTGAATCAAAATAGCACAGCACCATGGCCAGGATCCAGCTCAGCCAAACAGCTGGAATGTTCTGTTTTGATCACCTGTTTGTGACACCTGACATGTTTTGCCTGTGCTCAGGCAAGATCTACCTTGCCATGACCAGCACGTCCCTGGCCACGGAAGCACTTTTGTTTTTTTAGGGACTGTGCCTGCTTTCATCTTGTGAGGTGCTTCTCAGTCCCAAAATCCTTTCCTCTGCCTGTGAAGGTGAGTGAGGAGGAGAGTGGAGAGTCCTCAAATCCCAAGGATGCCCTGCAGAGATACCACAGCTCAGGATTCCATTCAGATTTACTGACTGACCTATTTTTTTCCAAAAACTCAGAGCGAACTGAGCATTGGACATTGGATTGTTGCTTTGGCAACATGACAGCCAAACTGTTCGGATGGTCTCCTTAGCTGCTCCTTGGCAGGCTGCCAGGTGCAGTCTCATCAGGAAAAATCCAAGAGGATAATCATTATCTTGCTGTGTCAACAGCTGGCCTGTGTGCTGTCACTCAACATTGGAGTTCAGGGGAGGTGCTGCTTCCATCTTATAGGAATTACAAGGAATGCCATGGAGTAATTTGCAGACCTACCACTTTTTAAAAAATTAATCCATTGGGAAGCGCCAGGTTCTGGTGAACAGCAATATCCATGTGATGGAGCTTTCTCCCAATTTTGTAATCACAAGGCATCACAAGGAGGGAGGTACTTGCGAGTCATTTGCAGTGGGATTGGCATCACATGTTCTGAGGGTTTCATAACTCAGGTGGCACTAAAAGGCTTTCTTTAATTACCCTTCATGACACGGTCTGTAGACTATAAACTTATATAATTTGTTTGCCATTGCCGCGTTTCAAAGCGTGTTTAAAAACTTGCCGTAGTGTTCCCTCCAATGTGAGAGATGAGCTTTCCTTTCCAAAATTCTGTCTGGTGCCATGAGAATATCTGTGAAACCATTAATTCCACTTCAGGTTGCTCAGAGAAGCTGTGGCTGCCTCATCCCTGGAAGTGTTCAAGGCCAGATTGGACATGACCTGGGATAGTGGAAGGTGTTGCTGCCCATGGCAGGGGGTGGGAACTGGATGGTCTTTAAGGTCCTTTCCAGCCCAAACCATCCTAGGATTCCATGAACTCCGATTTCCTGCTTTTCGAGCTCTGTCTCTGTGTAAAAGCTGTTTTTCTTGCTTCAATACTGGCAGCAGCCAACGCTGTGCTAGAAACGACTGTGGCTGTTTGCACACAAGAGCCAAAAAATATTCGTCTTTCTGAAATGATCACTGTGATCCAATAAATTCCTGTATGTAGGGACTGTGGTAGTGGGAACGTGGCTGTTGCACGATTAGGTGTCGCTTTCGGAGAAAAGCTTTTCCCATGTGTTATATTTAAATGGAAATTACATTGCACAGAGCTCCACAGCATCTCATGGAAGCTTGCTCAGGAATTATTGCTTGTTTATGTAACTGGCTGCGAACTTGGGGCCCGTGTGGCTGAATATTGTTCTCAGATATTGAGGCCATGAGCTTTTGATTTTTACTGTATAAAAATAAATTAAAATACTATAAGGATTCAGACTTCTCATTTTCAGTTAGTTACTGCCCTTCTACCCTGGGCTGGTTGATAAGATTAAAGGGGGAAAAAAAATATGCAGAGGCACAGGAAAAACATTTAGCATCTACTAGACTTTTTGGGATTGTGTTGTGTTTAGTGGTTTCTCTCTACAGCTTTTCCTCTTCAAAGTGATCTGTTGTCATAGGAGCCAAGTTAAAGTCGTGTAAACAGGGACCAGTGTTCAAAACAGACCTTAGCCCTCAGTCACTGCCTCGTCCCTCGAGCTGGCTGCCCACAGCTGACCCCAGAGGTGCCCTGAAAGGTGTGGAATCAGTGCAGGTTTGCTCCAAATCTGATCTTACATCTCTGTGAAGAAGCAGAAGTGAGGGAACTCCCATGGAGCCATTCCTACCACTTTATTCACCCCTTGGATCTAATACATTGCAAACAGCAGGTCATGCAGGGCTCTGGTTCTCACCCCTTGTTGTTTAGGATTTTTTTCCTCCAAGTCCTGAAATGAAACAAAAATGCATTGTAAGCAGTCAGTTACTGCCACTGTTGCAGGTTCATTTTTATAGGTTCAGTTTTGTTGGTTCAGTTAAATTCCCTTCCAAACATACATTTTGTTACCTAAATATCCCAAGTATTTTTCCAAGGTTTCCAGCCTGTGTCCCTGTCTAATACTCCGACTGCATTCGTTTGAATTATATCCAGCATTTCCTGCCAGCCTGCTGTGCTTGCAGATGATGAACCTCTCTTACCCTCTAGTGGAAGTATTTCAGTCCTGAGGATTTTATGGAGCCCTTTTGCTCTTGTAAAGGATCAGACTTTCTTGGAAAACATCTTTTTCTGTTGGTTTTAAAACATCACAGCATCTCGTGTTCACTGTGTAGTATCTTGTCTTATATTCTGTTTATCTTCAGGGACTTGTTTACCAAATTTTTGTTGTCTTGTGGGGTTTTTAATCATATTACATTGAACTTTCTAGTTTTGTCTTCCTCTGCAGAAGACTTGATGTGAACTTTTTCCAGCCTAAGGCACTGCTTAAATATGGTTTCTACACAGTTGCTTAGATAGGTCACAGAGTTTTATGTAAGTTGCTCCTTGTCTTAGGCCCTTAGTAACTGTAAGGTTTTATATTTCTGCTATTTTTCTAGACATTCTGCATTTCTAACAGTCAAGAAGAGACTGAGGGAAGCCTGAAATTACTTGACTTGAATTGAGGTTTGATTGCAGTTGCTGCAGATGAATTCTGTTCTTAATATCAAGAGGGAAAAAAAAGCAGCAGCGCTGAACTTTGGCAGCTTTTCCTCCTTCATTATTTAAATAATAATTTCAGCTTCAGGAAATCGAGCATAAACGAGATACAACATTCATTTATTTAACAACATTTCAGGACGAGGGATGGGACTTCCAAAGACAAGTTTCAGATGCTTTTGGTATCAGAAGGACCGTCTTCCTCATGATTATAATAATTTTCATTTCAATGAGCCTGAGGTATTAATGCTCTGAAGGTTTGCATGGTTTACTTTTTTTTTTTTTTCTAATATTCCCGGCATGGTCTCAAATGTTCAAAGCAGCAGATAGGGTTGCAAAGACATTTTCCATCTACATTAGCATTGCTGATCAAATTTAGATGGCTCTGCTGCCAGAAATGTCTCAAATAGGCCTTGAGTTGAATCCTTCTGGGTCAGCAATTTAGTCCCTGACTATGGCAGCAGCATATTACATGATACTTTTCAAAAATTGGCAATATTTAGTCTATAATTGTCTTTTTATTCTCAGTTTCTTTATGGGCTGACTTTCAGTCCTCATTTCTTATTAAAAAGACATAATTATTAAATTACTGTCTTTGTGGTTTGCAGGTAAAACAAGGTGTGTAGTCATTGTTCCAGCCTTATTCCCTGATTTTTTTTTTTTCCTCTTCTCTGCCACCCATTTGCTTTTAAACAGGAATAATTTTCCTTTAAAACTCTGTTGCAAAATTTGAGGTCAAACTAGGCAGGTTTGTGAAACCACAAGGAAGGATTCTGTCAATGGGACGCTGAGAATGAATTATCTGAATATATTCCAGTTTCTACCTAATTTTACATAAGAATTAACCATTTTTAATTTTTTTAAAGAAATGTTTGGGTTCTGTGGTGTGAACAAACGCTTCAGGAGAGCCTTAAATTGCAGAAAACCAAATTCTACCCAGAATTTCTTAATTAGTTTATTACTTTCCTGGCTTAGGAAATGAAAAGAGTGAGGTATGAGAATGAAACCTGTGACGGAATGGGCTTGCAAAATACCATTTTGTGTCTTCTGAAACAGCAATATTAAATGGTTTATTAGCCTAGGGCCTGTTTTCTAGGCCGTGGGTGCAGTTCAGTTTAATTGCAAGGAAGAATTTGCAAAATAGGAGAGTTCTGAGAATTTTTCATGCCAAAATCTTGACCGAAGGCCAGGAACCTTCACCAGCCTTTGTAAACTGACCCAGAAAGAGAAAGGGGACAAACAGGATCTGTAAACAAAGATCATGTGCCCTTCCCAAATACATTTTGGGAGGATGGTTGCCTAGGGAAACAGGAAATGGGGAATTATACAACAAACAAAAAGGACTGCCAAGCAAATTTGCTGACCTTTTTTCGGGGAATTGTGATGAAAACTGTTGGAATCCGCAGGATTTCACCATATCTCCAGATCTGAAGGTAGAACAGAAGAATAGTTTGGTAATTGCACCACAGTTATTTGGAAAATACAAAAGTCTTCCTTGGCATCTTCGTCCTGGAGGAAGCAATGCAGGGCCATGAGCTGTGAGTTCATCTTGAATTCATCATGGTTCATCCTGAATTTTTTGGAGTTTCCCAGCTTTTGCAGTTAAGCTTTTTGGAATCAATGCTTCCTTTTATGGATGAGATAATAACAAAATAACTCCATTCATATTTGCAAGGGTCATCTGGTCATTTAGCTCTGTTGTTTAGGCAGCTTAATCCTCATTTCTGAGCTATTTGTAGTCTCACAAATAGCTCTCTCCGTATCTTTCTCTACGAAACAGCAGCTCACAGAATGTTTTGTTTCCTTCCACGAGTCACAGATAAGAAGGGAAGAAGAGGAATTTGCAGTGGACTTGGCTTTAGCAGGGAAGGATTCAGCCTCTGGATGATAATCTGCTGAGTTGCAGGGAGAGTGAAATGCATTTACCTGATGCTTGGATCCCTTCCCGAGTCCTCCATTATTTCCAGCATGTAACTTTTATTTTCTTTTGTCAGTTCCAATGACAGGGTTCACTCAAAGGGCCACCATTGATCCGGAACTGAACGAAATCCACGTCTTGTCAGGGCTCAGTAAAGACAAGGAGAAGCGGGAAGAGAATGTAAGGAATTCATTCTGGATTTATGACATTGTGAGGAACAGCTGGTAAGTCATAAGTTCTAACTTCTACACTGACTTTCTTTGGAAAGCAATCCTGTCTCCCAAGGAATTGTAACCTCTGTTGACCCTGGAATGATGATGTTGAAGACAACTAAGTTCCCCTGAGGCACCTCTTTTTCCCTATAGTCTTTAAATACACCATGGCAATAATCTCCCAAATGAGAGAGAGAAACCATGTGAATTATTGGAGGCAGGTGGAGGGGACAAGGGGAAGTGAGCAATTAGAAAAGGCTTTTCCTGTAGGAAGTGCTCAAGGCCAGGATTCATCATCAGTGCAGCAAATTCAGTCAAATGTAAGTTGATAATACTGATGCAGTTGATAACTGGTACGTGGTGCCAGTTATTAAAAACTAAGGAAAACTGGTGCATGTGAATGGTGATGGAGAAGTGTCCATGGCATATCCACTATTCTGAGAAAAGATATCCTGGTCTGTTTGCTGTGTTCTGGTTTCCAGTGTCCCTTTTCAGAGCTGGCAGAGTTTTTGTATTCAAGGTCTCTTCTAATGTGGGGGTCAATCACTTTGAAAGGTGTGAATGTTGTTTTCTAAAAATGGATTTTTGGTTACAACTTAAGTCTGCTTGGAAATCACTGATTGATTAAATGATTACAGCTTTGCTGTAATCCATGGTCTAAAGCTCTGAGTCCAAGGTGTTTTTCTCCATAATAAAAAATACTTCATGCTGACAATTCGGTGGGCAGATAATGTAACATCTAAAGGTACTCCCAAAGCTCATGACAGATAACTTCTTAGAATTTTTTTTGTGTTTGGCTTGTGCTTGAGGACTGTGTTCAGCCAAGGTGACCTCTGATTGTTGGATGGGTTTCTTTTGTAGAGCTAAGAATGGGGATGGGATAATAGAGGACAACATGTAGAGAAGTAAGAAAATCTTTGGTGTTATACACCATTTGTACCTTACAGCCTTTCAGCAACTTTTCCTACTTCCTCTAAGTCCTGCTAACCATTATTTACTGCTTTGTATTTCAGGTCATGTGTCTATAAGAATGACCAAGCAGCAAAAGAGAATCCAGGTAAAAGCCTCCAGGAAGAGGAGCCCTGCCCAAGGTTTGCCCATCAGCTGGTGTATGATGAGTTGCACAAGGTATGAGGGTCCAGATAAATACATGATTTTTTCAGTCTTACAGCTCTTAAGATGTAGTTGTTTCCTCAAAGATGGTACAATTAATACAGGTTTTTGTTTAGTGCTAATGTTTGGATTGATATGGTGAGTAACTTTCATTTAACTTCCCATATTTTGAAATAAAATGCTGAACTTCTTTTTATGTCACTACAAAGCAGATATGAGAGCTGTTCTCACACTTCAAAACAAGTGAATCTTCATTATCTTCAGGGACTTAATCTCACAATCTGTTAGTGACTACATGGTCTCAGTTACCAACATTTCTAGGAAAAATCTGAATTAACTAATCTCAGTTAAGAATCTTCTGTACCAGAGATACCTGACTGGGTCCTGCATGTCAGAAGCAACTGTCATTGTTTAGCACTATCAGACACATTCATAGACTTAAAAATAGACTTAAAATTGGTTTTAGTGTACCTGACTGCTCAGTAAACTTAGGGGTTTGTGCATATTAACCAGTAAAGCACAAACCCACAGATTAGGTTCATAAATTCATCAATCCATGAATTTAAATTACTGTGAGAAACTTACTGAACCTTTCATAGATATTTTCCAGTTAAACTCTTTCTAGAAATTCTTTTTAGTCTGAATTGAAGAACAGAAATATATTTTAGTCTTGCACTCCATAGGATGGCAATCAGATCTGGAAAACCCAACTAGTCCAAAACTTTGGGGATAAGGGGGATTTGAAAGAGGAATAGGTGCAAATTTCGTATGGAGAACTTGCATTGCTTTTTGTCTTCACAGACCAATACTGACTGTAAATACTGCTCTGCCTTTACTTCTAATTGTAAGGTACCCTGAGACTGAGAGTAGTATTTTGTAAGTTACTCTGAAGGTTGCTAAATCATTGCAGTTGCCCAGCTTTATCTGACGAGCTGTTTGATGTGCTTGTTTTGAAGAGTCTTTATTTTTAGAAACCTCTGTTCCAATGACCTTTCTAAACTCCTCTGATATAAATAAGGAGAGCCTACAGCAGTGGGATGCAGAATACATTGTTTTGAGTGATTATTTTTAAAGCTGTGGGGAAAGGTAGCCTGTTGGACTTGTTAAACCTCAGTATTTGAAGATCCTTTGGAGCATGTTTAATGTCAACAGTTCAGAGTCTGAAATTACCAAACGGTGGGAAGAAAAATACAGTGAAGAAATAAACAGTCCTTTTTGTAACACTTCCACTCTTGTAGAAATTTACCTCTCTCTGTAAGTCTAGTCTTGCATTTCAGAGACAGACAAGTCGAATTAAAGCTCTTTGAAATTTATGGGACATGTGGGGACTTTGATCACCTCCCAGGATTATGCTGGACTGGGCTTGCTGTCACTTTACTTTGAGCATCTTTAGGACTTCCCACTCACTTGGTTGGTGCTTAAGGATCTATCATGCTCATAGGTTTTTCCTAAAGAAAGAGTGTGTGTGGGTTTGGGATGTTTGTTTATAAATACCTCAGGAATCTGCTACAGGTAGGTTCTAACAGTGCAGCTTTTTTATTGTCTTCAAATGTAAGTGGTTTAAGAGAACTTTCTTCATCTCCTGAGGGACAAGATGAGGCTAATAAAAAGATGGAGCAACTTGACTAAAAGGCAGAATTTCTCCCTCAAGAATAAACCTCTCCACAGCTACTGACGTAGTGAATTGTCCTTGTTCAGTGCATGTGCACAATCAATCACCTTTTTGATCTGCCTCTCATTTCCTTAGGTTCATTACTTATTTGGAGGGAATCCTGGTAAATCCTGCTCTCCCAAGATGAGATTAGATGATTTCTGGTCTCTGAAGCTCTGTCGACCTTCAAAGGAATACCTGCTAAGACACTGCAAATACCTCATCAGAAAGCACAGGTATAGAAACAAAGGTGGTTTGCAATTTTCTTTTCCAAATGTCTCCTTTTTTTTTTTTTTTAAGTTGGTGAAACTTGGAATATCTTATACCATTTTGGGAAATGTCATTTTATTGGTTATATGGAGTAGATGATCTTCAAAGTCCCTTCCAACCCAAACCATTCTATGATGCTGTGCTATGATGGTCTGCAGGTTTCTTGGTTATTTTTTAAAATTATTTTAATAAAACGCAGCAGGGCAGAACTAAACTACAAAATTAACTTCGTTCTACTTTGACTATGTTATTCTAAAACTAGAAAAATGTGGTGTGGGGGGAGTCATGGGGAATTTTTAGATTCCCTTTTCAGTCTGCTGCTCATCAACATGTGTTTTGGTGCTGTCACCTCCCAGGGAAATGGAGTATGTTTTGGAAACACTGTGCTAGGAGATAGTAACAGCTCACAAGGATGCTAATGAAATCTGGGGGCTGGATGCCTTTGCACATCTGAGACTCAACTGTGGTGAGGTCATCAGAGTTTCTCATTCAGAAACTCCTGAAAGAGCTCACTTAGGCAGAATTCAACAAAGCAATGCTTCTTGCACTCTGCATGCCTCAGAGCTGCCTTATATTTGCTATTTAGGGCAACAGCTTTTCAAAATCAAACTTAGGGTGTTGCCTTAGTCAAGAAATTGCAACAGAAAACAGCCTTTCAAGACCCAGCAAATTATTTGAAGCCAATAAATAACTCTCCCTGCATTCCTGGGGAGAATACTTTGTTATCAGGTTCTGCCAAGAGCTGAGAGGTCAGGTTTTCCTGATGGTATTTTACCTCTGAGGCTGCAAGAAAATTTCTGCACTCAACTCACAACCACTGTGCTGGATGGGGCCTTTTGAGATCAGCCACACAGTAGATGTGAATACCTACAAAAATTAATAAAGGCCTTGCCCAGTTATCTGGGAGGCTTATCAAACCCAGATGTGGTGGTATGGAAATGCAGCTGTGCAGCCTCCAGGGACAGCTCTGGAGTATTTGTTTTTACTTGCTTAAATTGCACTCAGAGGAAGTGTTGCTGTGTATTATCTGGCAGAAATTTGGGGTTTATGCACCATGCTCCCTCATTTTTGGGTTCCCTGTGAGGGAGCCAAACCTGACCAGCTGAGGTGTGATGGGTGCTTGGCTGGAGTTGCATCTTTAGCCAGTTTCAAAATTTGGGCTACACATGTCCACTGTGATATAAATAGCCAAGTAAATGACCCAAACAAAGCAATAACAATATGAGAAGATGACAGTATGATGCTGCACTGGCTGGATAGGCAATAGAAGGGAAAAGATCATTTTAAACCTCATCCTTTTTAGGCTTATGCACCCAATCAATGCTGCAGGGTCACTGAGGATGTTGAACCCAGAATCATTTTCTCAGGGCTCTATTAACTTCTTCAGGGAATTCACAGAAGTTACAGTTTCTGTTTGTTGAAAGACAATGGGGAAATAATGGTGGTGGTGAACAGGATTTTTAGGTACCTGTGCTCTTTCCAGAGGTGGGATATAAATATCCCTGGGACTGAAGTGCTCAGGGCTTGCCTGTGTCTGAACTGTGCTACTCACACCTTACAAACCAAACAAAGTTAAAATGTTTTATATATATACATCAAGAACTTGCTGTACGTATGCTTTTGAATATTTCCAGTAAGTGTGATGCTTTGCTCTTGTAACTCCCTTACACCCCCCAAAAAAAATCCTCCTCCACGTTTCAGTCTGTATTCCCGCAAATTACGGGCTGAGCTGCCACTAACGTGGTTTTCTTTGGAAATGCTGGTTTTGATAGGTGGGTTTTGCTCTTTGTAGAACTGGTAGTACTTAACCCTGAAGGAAGTGGCTGTGCTCAAGTTTTCTGTCTCTTCAGGTTTGAAGAAAAAGCTCAGACTGACCCTCTTAGTGCACTGAAGTACCTGCAGAATGACCTGTATGTGACTGTGGATCACTCGGACCCCGAGGAGACAAAAGAGGTAAGGGCTCAACAAATCCTTGTCTTAAAGAAGCTTAAATTGTTCTCAGTAAGAATTTTGAACCTCTTAAACCTTGTTTTTATTCAGTTTTCAAAAGCTCTACAGTGTCCAATGCTTTATCACATATTTCTCCCCACTGAAGTTCACTTTGCTGTAGAAACAGTCATTTACCTGCAGGTCCAGATAAAACAGCTTTTGTACTCCTAAGGGTGAAGAGTAGGCCTTTGTTTTAATTCCAGCATACTGGTGTGTATTTTGGGAGCTTTAATTGAATTGTAAACTCTCTGAAATGTCACAAGTCTATAGTTGGTTGTGTGGTAGAAAATGAGTAGAAACTTATTCATGCTGCCTTTTGGCTTGTCAATATTCAGCAGCTCCTGGGAGGGGGAAAGAGGTTTTTCCTGAGGTGATCAGTGTTTCTGGAAGTAATTTGTATATATACATTGCTTGCTACCCTTAAAATCTTATTTCCTCTGCCTTTTGAATATTATCCAGTAGGCATGTTTTTTTATTTATTCCAGGAATTTGTTCCCATTTCCTGTTTTGATTCCAGCACCGCAGTACGTGTCACTTTACAAAACGGATTAAAGAAATAGTGAGAAGTGACACATAAAGTGGTTGATTTGATTTCATCACTAATTTCCATATGGAAAGATGTGCATTCAGCTCCCGTGGGGGAGATGGGGAAAACTCCATGGTTCTTACTGTCTTCTTGCCTTAGTGACTTTGGAAGTCATTCAGCAGCTCCTTTTATAAAATCGTGATAGGAGAATGGGCATTTCTACTTCATGCTGAGTCCCTGGATTGAATCCCTTAATCTGGTGGTTTTAAGCTGCTACTTTAGATAAAAAAAAGATTGTACAGACACTGAAAGCTTTTGGGGGAGAATATTCTGCTTGTGTGTGCACAGTATAGAATTGTAGGGTTAGAGTTATGAAAAAAATGTGTATTCTTACTGGGATCTTGGAACTGGTCACATTTGTCATAAATTATGGTCAACCTTTCTAAACATCTGATCCAATATGTCTGTGTGTTCTGTTACATGGTTTCTCATTTAAATTGTTCCATGTCAAGTTGTTTGACATCCTTTCTAGTCATTTCTAGCATAGGAAAGACAACGGATGATTGTACTGTTCTTAGGATAGAAAAAGGAGATACTTATATTTTTATTTTTCCCCAGTTATTCACTGTCTTGTACCAGTGTAGTAGCACTTTCATGGAATCCTTTGGGTTGGAAAAGCCCTCTAAGATCAAGTCCAGCCATTAACCCGGCACCATTAGCCAAGGCCACCACTAAACCATGTCCTCAAGTACCACATTTACACGTCCTTTAAATCCCTCCAGGGATGGAGGCTCCACCACTGCCCTGGGCAGCTGCACCAATGCTTCACAACCCTTTTGGTGACCTTTATCCTCATATCCAGTCTTAACTTGAGGCCATTTCCTCTTGTCCTGGTGCTTATTACTTGAGAGAAGAGACCAACCCCCACCTGGCTCCACCCTCCTTTCAGGGAGTTGTAGGAAGCCAGAGGGTCCCTCCTGAACCTCCTTTTCTCCAGGCTGAGCCCCCCCAGCTCCTTCAGCTGCTCCTCATCAGACTTGTGTTCCAAACTCTTTCCTAACTCTGTTCCCTTCTCTGGACATGCTCCAACCCTCAATTGTCTTTCTTATTGTGAGGGGCCCAGAACTGGACACAGGATTCGAGGTTTCTTCTTCCTGTTTGAACCTGTACTAACCCACAGTGTACAAACTCCCATTCTGATGCTCTTTTCTCTCCTTCTGCTCCCTCCCACTCCTGTAAGACCCTGTCCTGTGTTCTCTGATCTCTCCCTTTTTCTCCATGTCACTCCTGTGTGCTGGTGGCCTGTCTCTCTTTGGCCAGTTGCTCCTGAAGAGATCTTGCATCTCATGGCTTGGCTGGCCCTTTTTATTCCCTGAAAGAAAAACCTCTGTGGTGTGATCAGCAAGCTCCTCTCCTCATTCCTGCTGCCTCTTGTCACCCACAGACTGAAGGAGCTGCCGTAGACGCTGCACATTGGGCCCAGGAAAGCCTTTTAATATTCTACATTTCATTTTCCCAGTTCAGTGCATAGTGTTCAACTTGTCCAGCTTGTAAGAATGAGGAATTTACCTGCCTGCATGGGCTCCTCGGAGATTTTGGGGGAATCTAACACCTTTATCTTACAAGGTAGAAAGAGAATAAAAATGTTTGAAAAAGATTTACCCGTTTTCAGAGAGCACACTGGTGTTCTGGACGTCAGTGATCCAGCATGTGAGCTTAGATAGCTCAGTCCAGCTGAGTGAATATATTGTGGATTCTTTTCTCTGCAGGCCTGATGTCTGATCCAGACAAAATCCAATAGCTTCTGTCTGTCGTGCTGGTCCGTCGGATCAACACAAACCATTCAGCAGAATTAAAGCTTCCATTCCAGCGACCTCCAAAAATCATTTAACTGATTTTGGGACACGTTTTTTTTTTTTGTTTGGGTTTTGTTCTTTTTTTTTTTTTTTTTTTTTTTATTAATTGTGCTGGTCGTAAAGGTTTTACTTGCAAAGCTTTTTTACCCTGGAACAGATCTGGCAGGGCTGTGGCCCTGAGCCAGCTGCTGGGCTGGTACTGACTGGATGTGTTTCCAGTTGACGTCAATTTACCTTCCGGTTATCACATCGAGTTGGCTTTTTGCTCTGGCATTGCATCTTCAAACAGCTCTCTTGTGCTTTCCAAAGGACTGACGCAGGCTTTTTGGATTCCATATCGAATTTCAAGCACCAGTTTGATTGTGTCTCTCAGCCCAGACACCTCCATGCTCTGCCTTTATTTGTAGTTGAGGTTGTCTTTTAATATTGAAGGTGATTGACGTGCTCCGTGCTGGCTGCAGCCATGGAAGGCTGTAAAGATTCTTACTGTGGCAAATAGGGAAGCAATTCCTGCCTGTTTTCCCTCTTCCTTGGGCATCTGTTAAATCTGGGAAGGACCAAGGTGAACAGTGCAATAGTTCTCCTGGAGACCAGACCTTCATGTTTTCTGGACTGAGGTGTGGATGGTGTTATATACCATTACAAACAGAATTTCCCCTTGCGGTGAGGTTTGCTTGCTTTGTAATAGAAGTAATTCCTTCTAACTTAGTTAGACAAGTCTGTTCAGCTGTTTGGAGTTTGATGCCAAGGAAAACAAACAGACTGTTCTTGAAACTTACTTTGGCGTTAGTAACCAATTTTGTTTAAAGTAGCATGAATGATTGATGGTAGAAACATACCCCCAGATTTTCATTCCATTGCTGTGAATTTTAGGGATGCTAATAGGATTATATTTTTATTTCACTTTTTTTATTATTCTAAAGTGAAGTAGATGCCTGCAAGTAACAAGTATTGCAAGGGTGCCTGTTTTAGTAGCCACAGGCTGTGTGCCAGCAACTCTGCCCATAAATGCAGATCCAGTTCTCTTTTAACTGTGATTCTGCTTGGAATCACCTAAAATCCCTTTAGTCAGTTCAGGGTTTCCTGATCAGTAGATCTTTTTCACTGACTGTGGATTAATACCCCTGACACTGTGTGTAAAGGAGGGTAGATCCCCAGAGCATGTGGAATTTTGTCCGTGATTTAAGAGATTAAAGTTCTAGAAAAGTGTCATTTGTTGGTGTAAAAATTTCTGGTGGCATGGGTGTTCTCCTCTTTCTCACACAGATTTTGATGATAGTTACAGCTGAAGGCTTTTAAAGAGAAAAGGATTGTCAAAATAAAAATCAAGTTGAATTCCAAGTTGTGTACTTCAGGAAAAATGGGTGCTATTAAAGCACAGAAACATCAGTAGGTCATGTACCAAGCTAAAATGTTCCTTGAACACTTCAGGAATCATACCCAGAACTTTACTGCTCTTAAATGGGCTACAGTAGAAATCAAGATGATAGAAAAAAAATGTCCAGTGCTTTCCAAGTAAAGGAGATCAAGATGGTTTTGTACGTGGAGATTCAGCGACTTGACGAAGCTCAATCCCGGGACTGTTGTAAAACAGATACCAAGCACGAGGAAAACTTGCAGAATGTTTTTCTTGGAGCATGGTAGGAGAAAGAGCAAGGACCTGGAGGCCAATTTGAGGCCTGACTTGCTTGTAGACCCAGGCTGGAGGCCCCTATTCAAGGCTGCTTCATACTTTCCATTCTTAAAACCTTGTCTTTAATAAATTTGACAGATAAAGCCAGCGGGGCCCGAAAGTATTGTTTGAGTCTGCATTAGACTGATATTTCTGGGAAAATTCAAGCCCAAATGGGAAAAATAGTTCTAAGAAGGAGCTAAGAAAAGCCTGTTTCTCTTCTTCATGTCCTGCTGTGATTCTTTGTAAAGCCTCAGAGCCTGAGTGCTGCAGGAGCAGAGGCTTTGGAGCCAAGGAGCCTTTAGAAAAACAGTGTTCAGCCTTCCCAATTTCAGCAACGGCTCCGTCCTCAAAGAGTTTGAGCCTCTCTTTGCTTCTTTGAGCCTGTGCTGAGAGTCACCAGCCCCAGAGAACTGGGCAAAGCTGAGGAACTGGTTTGCACTGTGATCTGAGTGCTCACATTATGGAGGAGGAGGAGGAATTATGTCTGATTCAAACAACCTACCAGGTATCCCAAACAGGAGTTACTCATTCCCCCTTAACCATTTCATTTCTCCAGAGGCAGAGGTGTGCAGCAAATATACAAAAATAGATATAACTAATACAGCCTTATTTTAGTTCCTTGTTTTTCTCCGAGGAACCCCTGCTCAGTTCAGAAGGTGGGTTGGATCTCAGAGAGAAGTTAATTGTATAACAAAGGAAACTTGTCTTTTGAGTGCAGGCTTTATTTGGAATGGATGAAGCCAGTAAGCCAGAGGGGTTGTCAGAAGAAAATGGGTGGTGTGTGATTAAAGCAGTTGGATGCTTCTGCTGGATAATTGAATTCTGGTCTTGCCTCTGTAACAGAGTTGCCATGTGATGTTAAGCAAATTGTTTTTCCTAGATGGTCATTAATTGTTTCATTCTGGTGCCTGATGGGAGAGATCTCAGGTGTGACTTGCTTGAGGGCTTTGCTTTTTCTGTGAATTCAGAAGTTGTTGCATAACATTATTTTGAAAAATCTGTTTCTGTTAGTTTCAAAGAGGGAACCCAAAATTAATCAGAATTTAAAGTGCTGTCTGTTACAATAACAATTAAGAAAACCGAAGGAGTGGTCTTGAGTAAGCAGTAACTATCCTATGCATTGGGAAAAAAGGTATCCTTTGGGAGAATATCATAGGGTTAAGCTGGGATTGTAATGCAAATACAGAGTGAACCAACTTAGGCTCAGCACTGTCTGTAACTGATGTTCTTAAACCATGTGCTTGACTTTTCTGTCAGAAAGTGCTTTTTAAATGCGAGCTGATACATAAACTTAACTTCAAACCAAACAAACAAACAACCTCAAGGTTAACTGAAGTGCAGTGTCATCAGTGCAGAAGGAAACAAGATACTTCTTTCCAGCTTTAAGGGGAAGAAACTTGTAGCCATGAAAATCCATCCTTCCTGGTGCAGATGAGGCTGGAATACTTGGCATAAGGTCTTTTCAGTGGATTTTTAGTCTCAGTTCAGTGAATTACAAGTTGGATCCTGGTTATATGGTCTCTTAGTTGGGCACCTGAGCCCCAGCCTGGAGTGTGGCTTTCTGCTCCCAGTGGGAAGGCTGCTGGCATTGCTATGGGAGGAAAGGAAACCTCTGGAATTATGTGGCATCTGCTTTGGCAGCATGCCCCTGAGGCAATTGTGTGGGAGGGAAGGGTGGCCAGGACATGGCATTTGCTCTCAGAAGCAGCATGGATTTAGCCACGGGTTTTATTGGAACTTTTAGAGCTATTTCTGCTGGGCAGCTGTTTGAGGATGTTGCTGATTGGAAGCCAAGCAACTCTGGGAAATTAAGCTTGCAGGAAAATACATGTGGAGCATTGCAGTCACTCGTGATTTGGGATAACCAGGCCTCACACTCAAGAGGGAGCTTAATCACCCTCTCCCCCCTCTTCTGGAGTTTGTCAATCCTGTATCTTTCTAACCTCTTCTTACACCTTCCCAGGACACCCTCTCCAAAAGATGTAAACTTACTCCAGCACACCACAGTCCTTATTTTAGACTGGTTTTGCCCTTGATGCCACATCGAAATTGATCTTGCTGAAGTGTTTTTGTAGCTTCTTACACGTAGGTGTAGATTTACTTCTTGTAGCAGCTTTCTGCATTTGTGACTTTTGGCAGATTCCTCCTTGGTCATTGTTCTGTCATCTTCTGCAACCCTGACTCCTTTGAACTTTCTTCCTAGAACTTGGTTTTGAGACCATTAAATCTTTTTTTAGCACTTTCCTCCTATGTTTCTAATTGATATAGGGCATCCCAAAGTGGGTGCCTTGTTGTAGAGGAGACTTACAAGCCTTGATAACAACAGGAATACTTGATTTATTTGAAGATCCTGCTCCTTCTCTGTGCACTTTCTATGCATTTGCCAGTTTTACAATAGGATGATAATTGATCTCTTATAACTCCTAGGTGCATTTTCACAGAGCCTCTGCACCTGTTTTGTATCACTGATTTTTCCTGTTGGTGTTGATTTGCATTTGGCCCTAATGAAACACACCTTGATCCATCATTTTAAACTGGATTTAGTGGAAAAACAGTAGGAAGGCTGTCTGCTCCATGTCTGTCTGAGCATGGTCTAAGGTCTGTGGGCTCAGTGATCCTGCCCTGTCCTGCCAAGCAGGCTATGACTGAAAACCCAGAATAGTACTGCCCCAGGGCACACATGAATCACTCCTGATTCACAGCTCCATTTTCATGTCAAACCACTGATGGCCACCCACAGAAAAGTTATTTGACCTGTTTGCCTTTCCCTGTTGGTTTAATTTGGGTGATGCCTTGATAATTTGGCTTTAAATATCATATAAAAGCATCAGAATGGACAATGTCCATTGCCAAGTCTCATCCATACGACCTGCTGCCTATAAAAGAAATCAGGTTGATGTGATACAACTTGTTGTTGCCAAACTGACATTGGCTGCTACTCATCACCTTCTCCACTCCTTCATGCTTTCAAATTGTCTGTGTTCTTATTTTTTCTTGAAATGAAACCGATGGATATGTAATCCCTGGCTGTTCTTTCCACTCCTTTCCTGAACGTATTTATCCTGGTTCTTCCCCCCTCTTCTCTCCTTTGGGCTGTGTGCTGAAAAGACACACAGGACACACAAGATTCCAAGCCTTTAAGAAATCAGCTCATTCCTTACAGGAACATGACAAAGCACTAAGCTTTGCTGCTCTGGGGGTGACTGAAAACAGCAGCTGGGGCAGAGGAAGACACTGGTCACCGTCCGTCAGTGAGATATTAAGGGAGAATAAACCCACGAATGTGTCACTTCAAACGTTTGTACTCATGATTCTGATGTTCCCCAAGAAGTTTTATTTTTGATTTAAGAGATACTGCTTTAAGTTTATGATATCAGCTTCTGTGGCAGTTCAGAAAGGTTGATACCATTAGAAACGTGGAATGTTTTGGGTTGGAAGGGAGCTTAAAGACCATTCAGTTTTAACCCCCTGCCAGGGGCAGGGATGCCACCCACTAGATCAGATTGCTCAGGGCCCTATCCAGCCTGGCCTTGAACACTTTCTGGGAAGGAACATCCAGAACTTCTCTGGGCAGAGCTTTCTCTGTGTTCAAGAAGTTCATGCTGCACCAGTTCCAACTGTATCCAGCAGTTCCCCTGGTTTTTGTGCTATCTAATCCCTGCCTGCTGAGCCTGTACCATGTTAATCCCTGGGAATGTTACTGCGTGGAAGGGACTCTTCCTTCTGCTCTGTGATACCTGCCAAAAAGGCAAAAAACTATATGTAAAAAAATGAGATTTTTAGAGCTCTCAGTCAAGTACCTTTCATTGCATCAACACTGCTCTAATTCTAGGAAAAACCATCCGACTTGTGCCAAGCTGACAAATTGTATTGCTCATGTGAAAGTGCCTGCTGCTGTTATTCATGTGTATGGCACAGCAGTTCCGAGCACTGTGCAGAGAAAACACAGCAACTTTCAAGCCACTTGGACTTCTATGAATCTTTTGGGTTTTTTTCCTGTGTGGTTAATAACACTTTTTTCTTTCTTTCTTCTTTCGCCTCTTCTGCAGTTTCAGCTTCTTGCCTCAGCATTATTTAAGTCTGGCTCGGATTTCACGACTCTTGGTGAGTATTGTGTGTCACAGGAATTATATGATGTTCCATCTGATAATTGCTGTTAGTTTCTACTGGATTTTATATCAAATATTGTAGTTCCTATGAACATTGTAGGCCCTTTTTCATTTTGAATATGCAAAGTGCCACTGCCCAGCCATTTGAGAGGTTATTTATAATGACCAGTGTCCAATGCCTCGAGCCCATATTTAAAACATCTGTCAACATCAGTGGTTTTAAACCAGTGCCTCCCGGGATCATTTTGTGTGTCTTATTACATCTGATCCTTCGCTGTTACCCAAGTAAACAGAAGCTTTGGTCAGAATAAAGCACCTCCAGTCATGTCACTTTGGAATCTCACAGCATGGCTGCAGCTCTGTTTGCTGTGATAACTGCAATTCCTGGAGTAGTTTGGTTCGCCCTGTTCTTTGCAGAACGAGTTCTTTGGGCAGAATGTCAAGAGCGAAGAAAACAGTGGCGTGAAGGGCTGGAAACAGGAGGGCTGAGCCAAAACCATGATTTGTTTCGCTCCTCTGTCCAGTTAACTCTTTTACAGAGCTCAGAGATTAATCCTGGGAGAGCTATAGGAAGGCTGTAGGCACAACTTACATCCTTGTGGTGCTGGGTTGTCCTCATGTTACCGAGCTCTCGCTAAGAGTTTGGATGATTTCAGTTTTTCATGGAGGCAGAATTCCCAACATAAGAAATTGAAGGAAGGAAAAAACCCACGGCACTGTCTGCCCGGCTGGATGAGGAAGCTCTGCTGAGCTGGCGTGGTTTGGAAGACATCTAGTTGATCCCGTGAAATTAATTTTGTTTTTAAAGAAAGAAAACAGATGTTTCAAAAAAGTTGGATTTTTCGTAGAGTCACAGAATGGTTTGGGCTGGAACGGACTTTCAAGTTCATCTCATTCCAGCCTTCTGCCATGGGCAGGGACACCTTCTACTAGACCAGGTTGCTCCAAGCCCTGTCCAGTCTGGCCTTGAACACTCCCAGGGATGGGGCATCCACAGTTTCTCTGGGCAACCTGTGCCAGGGCCTCACCACCCTCAAAACCTTTCCCTGGTTTTAAGTGTTGTAGAAGATGAATTAGTTGTTGCATCAGTTCAGTACTTTTATCCAGAGTTTGGCTTTACAGATAGGATGCACATGTCAAGGAGTGCTTCTAAAATAAAACAAAAAACCCCAGCCCTCCTTGATTTGATTAACTTGGTTGACTTTGATTAACTGAAGAGTGAGTTCACTGAATTAAAAAGCATTCCTTGGAGATACCAGTGATAGAAGTAACACACAGCAGAGGAAATCATTGTGTGCCTACCCTATTGTTCTTGCTGTTGATGGTTTAAGTGTGATGATTTGGATAAACAATGCAGACCAAACCCTCCCCTCTTGGGAGGCAGCACTTCAGAAACCCAGTTTGCAAAGCTCCCTTGTGCCAAGATGCAGCCAAGGTCCCCTGTGCAACTCCAGTGAGTAAATACCTGACTTGGAACTCCTACCCGTCAGCAGGACTTGTCTCAAGGAAAACTCCAAGCAATCCAAGGAGCAGTTCTGGTTATGGCAGTGAAGATAACGAGGAAGGCCTGAGGACAGAAGAAATGAGGCACCAAATAAAAATAGCTACACAGATTTTGTTTTCTGGGACATCAGAGCAGCCCCCTGAGAACTCCGTTTCTTCAGGGCTGTCAATGAGCTTGACAGGCATTTGCTTATTACTTTTTATGGCATTTTGATGGCAGTGCTGGCTTGGGGTGACGTGAACTCTGTGTGTATGTGCACACAGCAGTGGGGTGGAGGGCTGGCAGCCTTGTTAGTAGAGACAGAAGTAGCAGACTGTTAACATCGATCCCAGGTGGACAGCTGGCCTGTTCCACTGAGCATTTAGAATAGGGAGAACTGACTCAATTTCCCTGTTTCTTCCTTCCCCAGGATTTTCAGATGTTGACCACACGTATGCCCAGAGAACTCAGCTGTTTGACACACTAGTCAACTTCTTTCCAGACAACATGACCCCTCCTAAAGGCAACCTGGTGGACCTCATCACGCTGTAATGGAGCAATCACTGGACACGTGGAAGAGGAAAAAAAAGCATCCATTTTCAGTATTTTAATTTTTTTACTGCATTGATTGACTGCTGGGATGAAGTTAATATAGTAACCCCTAGGTGTTTGAAAGGGGTTTTATACTTGTATGGTGAATCCCTGGAGCTTTTCCCTTGGAGTAGGTTAATAAAATGTAACTGACGTACTTCTGACTAAATATATATATTTTTTCTGACTTTGGATTTTGAGTTAGCAAATGTAAGATGAAAAGGTGGGGGGAAAAGAAAAAAAAAATAAAACCCAGTCATGTAGTGATCTTTTTGCCTGTGGGGGAAAATTGAGATTTGTGAGTTATCTGGGATTAAAGATGATGGGTTTTATTTTGGGTTTCCTGAGGAAGAGGGGGGAGAAGTTTTTCTTTCCTCATCTGTATCTCATGATATATTGCTTTATGCTACAACTCCATCCTCAGCAGCTGAATAACTTGCTGGCAGGACACTGGCACACATTGAGGTAAAAGTAATTTATGTCTTGAGTCTTGTAATCTTGTGTCGTGGGGCTGCGAGCGCGTGTTACAAAGCGTCTGTCTCCTCGCCCCAGAATCAAGCTGACAGTCGTGTCTAACTGCATCTGAGACTCGATCTAAGCTGAATATCTACATCCCTCTCTTCTGTTCTCTGGAGCCTTCCACTTAAACCTGGCAGGCAAGTGGGAACCTCAGAGAAACCGTTGGAAAGCGGGAGCGCGGCCGTCAGCCGTACGGGCCCCTTTTCAGGGATCGCTCTCTCTGCTGCTGTGCTCTTCTGCTGGGAAACCACAGGGGTCCTCGGCGAGCCCGGCAGAACTGGGTCTTCCACCACATCCCCCCCCCCCCAAACCTCTGCAACCTGACCCTGGGTTGGGTGTAGGATTTCTGAAACAGATTGTCTTCATTTCCATGTGCTTCTGTGTGCGTCTGTCTGTGTGTCCGTGTGCAGAGCGTTGCTCCCAGCAGCTTGTCCCTTCCTGTGCAGTGCAGCTCACTCATCAGTGCATTTTAGACCTAGATCTGAATGTGAGGAGGCCTTCTTAGCATAAATCTCTTTGAAAGCCAGCTGATGCATATGTATAGAAAATATATTCTTCCTCCTCGCCGAAAGCCTTCTTTATACACGCTGTAAGGGCTTGGTGCTGCACTGTGAAGTGGAATGAAGGACACGCATACCCAGCACTAGAAACTGTGCATTTGGTGTCAGTGAGTGTTCAGTACACACTGGCAGATGTAAATATTTATATGAGACTGCAAAGCTTTATGTCCAGCAGTGTTCATGCCAACTGGGTATCGTTGCTGCACCCGCTGAGGCCCGGTGGCCCCTGTTGAACTTGATGGAAAATCCTTTGTGTTGCAAAGATGGACTCTTGAAATAAAGAGTTGGTCAAGTGTCTTTTTCAGAGCTCGAGTGTCTGCTTGCTTTGATTGCATTGTATTGCCTCTTTATCATGTTCTTTGTGTGACTTTTGTAGTCCTGCTACGTTAGAAATAAATTTAAAAAAAACCTCATAACTAATGTTTAATCACTTAGAAAGGAACAATATGTCAGAGGCCGGGCTTTGCTTGTCTTCAGGGAGGACTGTACAAAGCAGTGTTTTTAACCTGTCACTTGAGACCGTTCAGACATTGTCCACTTCAGTGGATGGCAAATCACATGTCTGGGGAAGACTCCACTCAGTGAAGGAAATGAAATCTGATGAAATCATTTCTTTGGAACGTGGCAGGTTTTTTTCCCAGTGATGTGGAAAGTTTTACGTTACCACTGGGCTTTATGATGTGCTACCTGTGCTGAGGCTTTGTTAACTAATTAGAGTTTATACAGTACAAGTGTAGATATCAGAGGAATATTCCAGCTGAGGTGTTGCTTCCATTGAGGTTGAACTGATCACTTTTAATGCAACCAACCAAACTGCTGCAGCCCTCTAGTACGTAAAATTTGAGTGCTGTTGTGCTCCCTTATCACTTGATCTCATTGCCTGTGTGTCCTCCAGCTCCAGTCAGGTATTAAATGCTTTTTGTCACAGTTCTCTAATCAGCCAGGCTCTTCATAAATTTTTATGTGTGTCCACCTTGGATGACCACATGTCAAACCAAAAGATAGACGTAGCTGGAGCGCACAGGAGAAGTTTAGGATTGCCAAAAGCTGTGAATGGCGTTGGTGGTGAGCAGTGCATGGTGTCAGGTCTGATCTGTGTCACAGAAATTCGATCCAAACTCGTTGTCCTCTGCGTGGGGGGTGCCTGTGAAGCCCGGCAGCCTCGGCTCTGTGTTTTGTAGCACCGTGTGAATCGATGGTTTGTCGGAGTTGCTTCTGCAGGACTGACAGTCCCAGTTAACGAGGGCCCTTCAGGATGATCAAATATTGACCTGCCTTTATCCCAGGCGGATCGATGTGGGCTCACACCAGTGCAGTTCATGGATGGCAGCTGGTGATTAACCAGCAGAAAATATTTGCTCAGCCTCTGAGTATTTGTTGAGCAGCAGAGGCACCGTGTGGCCAGAGAGGTTAAGCCAAAGGAAAGGCTTCTTGTGGCTTTGCCAAGGGTCTTTCCTTCTCCTTAAAGCTAGGAATCAAAATTAAATGATTTTTTTGCATTGGTGTGTGCTGCACTGCCTGATTTTAAAACCTAATCAAAAATTCTTGAGCAGTGAAGTACAAGTTTCCTTTCAAAATCAGCCATGGATTTAATTGCATGCAGATCTTTAAAGGTACTGGTGATATTCCAGGAAAGCATTAGATGTGCTCACTACAGAAATCCCGAAGTACAAACAGAAAAGAAACCCAGTGGATCTGAAAACAGCCACCTGAAAGTGTTTCACAGCCCAGTGCATGCCAGGTTTATAAATACACAGGCTGTGCGTGAGAAGCCTTCAAACCTCACCATCACCGCTTGCAGGCTGTGTCTGAGGCTGCTTTTTAGCTTAGGCAAGACAAACATACTCTATTTGCCTCTACCTTAGGTTATAAGGTGACTTTGTGTATGAAGTTGACACCACATAATCTTTGCACTACAGTAGTTTTATCTGTAAATTCCATGTTAGCTTGTAAATAAGGTATTGCAGAGGAAGGTGTCGTTCCTTGTCAGAGAGGGACTCATTCACGAGGACTGGGGTCTTTAAAGCCAAAGTTGCAAGGTTCTGGTAGGTCTTTTAAAGCTGGAGGAAGTCAGGGTGGGATAAACTTGATACAGACACCCAGACTTCAGTCCTGTTTTAGCTTTTTTAATATCCTTTGAGATCCATGAGTTTGGTTCTTCACTGACATTCAGTAGATCATCTCTTTGGAAAACAGGAAATTATTCTTTATATTGTTCCTATTCAGTGACACATTTTCTTAGAGAAATAAAGCCCTACAGAACTGATTTTTTTGGTCACTTGGATTAGGTAGAATTAAGTGAGTTTGTTAGTTTTTGTTTTATACAATCCCTCCAAGTACTCACAAGGTAGAAGTTCTTAAGAGTTCTCCCAAAATGACCTCTCCAAGCAAGTGCTGCTCTTACAGCACAACCCAGAATGTTTTCATGTGGCAGAAGGACAGAGCATAAAAGTTAGGAGACCATACCCACCTTCTTGCCATGTTTTTTTGAGGATCCCATTGATTAATATTGATCCCAGGGAGGCCTGAAGGGTGATGCAGAGTGTTCACTGAAATTAATTGTAGTTTTTATCTTCTGTCTCTTTTAAAGATATTTGTGATGTGTTTGTTCTTATCATCTCTTCCTTTTGCTGAGTATAATGAGGAAGGAGAACTTTGTCTTGGAAAAGTTCCATTTGCCCTTTCCCTAGATGGCATCTTGTATGTGTAGTTAAGGTAGTCAGATCCAGTTGTGTGAATAAACATCTGGAATTTGGTTTTTGTTTGCCCAGGATGGCTCTGTGTGAACACAGGAATGTTCTACCTAGCTCAGGGGTCAGGATGAAGCTTCCTACTAGAACATCAGGTTAGCAGAATCTCACTCTAAATTTGGAAAATCAGTCTGGGAACACCCAATTGGAAAATCTTTTTTTAAGGTAGAGCCTTGTGCAGTGGCAACTAGAGTGAAAGTAGGGAATTTTCCTAAAGAGCACAGAAAAGCTTCCCTTTGTGAATTGGAGTGACAGGGTTAAGTGAAATTGCTGAAACATTTTTAGTCATTGATTGTAACAACTTAGCCTGGAAATTCGTGATTTAATGACTAAAATTTAATGATTGAGGAGTCAGTAAGCAAATTAATTGGACCCCCCTATTTGCAGGAAGGTGGCAGAGGTGTGGGGCTGGTGACCAGGGAATGCCACAACCTCATCCCTGTGTTCCTTTAACTGGCAACCACGAGCATCGAGGTCTCCATTAACCGTGTCTTCTTCCAGAAGAGACTCCTTCCAAAGCCGAGTAACGAGTCTGGAAGAGTGTTTTCCATAGGGCTTTGTGGAACAGCTGCTTTCTGAATCATTTTCCTGATGTGTGCAAATTTTTCGAAGGGAGTTTTTTTTTTTGTGTGACGGAGTCGTACGTTGATCTGGCCCTGCCGTGCCAACCTGCACTGGGGAGTGAGGGATTTCAGAGCAGTGCCCTGAGCAGCACTTGGAAACTTGTTTTGCTGCTCTTACTGTGAAAAAGATGAGCATCAGTGCTGCTTGTTTCAAATGCAGGAGAGTAACACAAATATTACTAGTTTTCTTGCTGCCTCCTGTGTTTCAGAATTGAGAAAGAAATACTTTTGTAGAGCTCATCAAGTGAAGCTTGTAGTTTGAATTACTTCTGTGCAGCCTCCACCTCTGTGCAGGCAGTAATTCTGTGGGTGGAACGCTGTGCCACTTCTGGGGAAAATGGCAGAAAATCATTAGATACGATTCCATTCGGTCCCTTTGTTTTTACAAGTGGAAAAATGTCTTGTGAAACCTTGAGTCTCCGTGTATGCTTTGAATTTTAGCTTATTAGTTGGCTCGGAGTTAAGGAATGTTTGGCTATTGTCAAGTGAAGTCCTGACAGTAAAAGCAGTTCATGTTATGTCTCTGGAAGTGCTTGTGTTGTTTTATAGCTGTATTTATTACAGAAACAGAGGTGGACCCAGTTAAAAATTAAAATTATTGGTGTTTTGATTTAGGGAGATGATTATAGAAACTCTGAGCTTGGCCTATTTTAATAAGTACATGTGATAATTTGGAAATGGGTCTTATTTTGTGAAAGGAGAGTTTAAGAACAACTATATGACTTGTTCTTGGTCTAGATTGTAGTAGTATATAAACTGTAAATAGTGTTGAAATGTAAATGTGCTGTCAGAAGCTTGTTAGTGTATCTAAAACTCCTGTGGGAATGGGAGACCTGATCATATCCTGTCATGGAAAATGTTATACTGGAAATGATTTGAGTTGTGGTAATGGCTTATAGGCAAAATCCCTTTTTTACTGAAAGCCTCTATTATAATGAAAAGTTGGAGTGGAAAAAGTAGGTTTACTGTACTGGAACCATGATAACAGTCCATGGCTCAGCACTTGGATCAATTGACTCCAGATGCTTTTGTCTGTAGGCAGTGGATCCAAGTGTGGTTTTGGAGTGGAAGCCAGTTAATGACCTGCTTATTGCTGTTGGAGAGTCCCCCAGGAAAACCTCGCAGGGAATGCCAGCAGGTATCCTTTTGGCATTCCTGGCAGAGGTCAGAGGACTGGCTGGAGTTTGGGATTATCCACGTGTGCTTTGGTTATATATGTGAACCTGTTTGCGTGGGTTGGATGTAATTCCAGCTGTATGGCTGAGGTGTGGAGATCTGCAAGGCAGCATCTTCCCCAGACACATATCCTGAAGGTAACACATTGCTGCTGTCTCCTTTGCTTTCATGGACTGAATTTGATAGGGATGAACTCCAGGCACTTGCTGTGACCCAAATTCAGTGCTCTGCTTCCAAGCTGCTCTCTGGAGCTGCTGTCAGTGGATCACCTGGGTACTCTGAAATCTTAATTTATACTTGGTGCAGACAGAACTACATGTTGTCCTGGCTTCCAGCTGTTTGCTTAAAGTCAGCACAGCTTTTACTGGTGACCTGGAGACTGTGAGTGCTGTCAGAAATCAGTCTACTGTTCAGCTCCAGCATGGCATCACAGTTCATTCCTGAAAACAGGAATGTGAGTGAATGGCTCAAAACTGGCTCTATCTGCTTGGATTTTTTGGTTTACTATTAATTTGAAAGGAAAATCTTATCAGGAGCAGATATGATTGTGAAAGCATGGTTCCTTGGCTATTTCCCCATTTACTCTGACTTTTCTTTCCCTGTGTGGCTTTTCACTGCTGTTAAAATGCCTTCAGACTTCCCTGAGTTTAATGGATACCAGCTGAAGAATTAGAGGTTAGAGCTGCATGGTGGTTATTGAGGCAGCAGTTTCTCCATGTCACACCATCCTCCAGTTGCTTCCTTTGCAAAACTCCTTCCTGCTGCCTCTGAGACAGTCAGGGAGGATCCTTGTGATCTACATTGTTCTTTCCAGGGATGTTTTTCGTCCTGGGTAAGGACAGGGAAGCGTGGGAGCTGATTTCCCGCTGCAGCATGATTTACTTGTGCCCCTCCATGACCCCACATTCAGTGCTGTCATAAGCCTTCCCTCCTGTCTCAGGGTTTGTTTTTCTTGGCCCCAAGAGGGTGGTAGTTGTTCAACAGAAGAAAAAGGGTGATGAGACCAACCCTCAGCTTGTCCAAGGTTCCTGGACCTGCTTTCATCGCCCCAAATCTTTCACTGGTGGAGGCAAGCAGCTGGTATTGGGGTGGGGGTTTGGTTTATTTCTGCAGTGTAGCAGGGCAGGGGGAATGGGAAGGGAAAGATGCTTAGGGATAATACAGCAGTGGCTCATGTGAGTAGGTGTGTAAGATGTGATCTGTCTTTGTGGAAGGACTTTGAAGACTCTTTAACAAGTAGTTCTGCTGTTTACACCTGATTTTTTCATGTGAGCCGGATTCCCTGGCTCTTTTTCCAATGGAAGTGATGCAATACCAGGATCTTGGAGTCCTGGAACTTCACCTCAAGCTTGGCCCCCCTCTACCCCAAGGACACCAGAGAGACTCATACAGATTTTACTCTCTCTCCAGTCCCTCCACAGTGATGGCAAGAAAGCCAGATGGGCTTAACCCTGCTCCAACAGCCCAGAGGTGGTACAGCACCATCAGCTCTGGCTGCCTTAAGAGATTGTTAAAACCTAAAAGTGTTCTGAGCTTTCTAGTGAAAGCTGCCAGTGAGATTAAGGGAGATCAGGTGCTTTTTAATTAATGTGGTGGGGGGGGGAGGCCAGACCACAACAGTGACTCTGGTGGTAGCAGTCATCTCCACATCCCAAATGCCAGTGGATAGGTTTTTCTCCCCAGTGATGAGAAAATACACTTTAAATATCCTGACTTAGTAACCAAGGGATTCAATCAATTACTCAGTGTTTCACTAAATACAGAAGTGCTGCAGCATGTGAACAGGGTCTGTTCCTTAAAGAAACCACTTAGAGGCTGAAAAGTTTTTTGGGTTGGTGATAATTTTTTTTTTTTTGAGGTTTTGACAAAAAATTCATCTCTTAGGGGGAAAATGGAAAACTATTGTGTTGCTCACTTGGTTTCCTCTCTTGTCTGCTGTGGTCCCCGGGAATGCAAACTTGCAGTGGTGAGGGAATATTGCCTTCATCTCTCCCTCATCATTCCTTATCCCTCCTCCCCTCCCTCCCGTTGATGTTCAGATGTGTGAAACACTTTTCACTTCAGAAGCTGCTGTGCTGGATCTTGGAAAAGAAAACAAGCCCCTTGTTATTAGTAGCTGTTACTATTTACCAGAGCTGTATTTTCTGCTCTCTTCCAGCACACCCTCCTCCACAGCAGGAAATGAGGGGACGGTGGAGAGGCCATAAGCCAGAGAAACGAGCTTAATTATACAAACAAGTGTGTTTATGGGAGTCTTGGGTCTTGGAGGCCTCAAACTGCACAGACCACTTTGCTGAGGGGGCAGAGAATCAAAGTCTGTGGGCTCATTCCCTGTTAATTAGAGATGACATTCCCATCCTTGTGGGGCTGGTGGTGGTGTGCATCTGGTGTATTCAGATGCTGAGATGCACCGTGTCTCATTTTGGAGTACTGAGCTTTGTTAAACCTTCTCCCTTTGGAACTGTTGCCATGATCCCTCTTGGGTGAGTTGATAGCATAGATAGGATCTGGAAAGCTTGGGATCAAGCACCAGTGAGCTGGCTGGGCACCATCACCTGGCTGGGGTGGGTCTTTTGGCTGTTTGTTGAGCTGTTGCTTCTACTCTGGTGGTAGCACTGTACTGTGTGGTGGTTTGTTTGTCTGGACCTTCAGTGTTCATTAGCTCGTCCTCTAATCCTGTGTGTGGTCCTCGAAAGCTGGTTATCCCTACACAGTTCTGGAAGCGTGAGTGTCCACCCCCTGTCCACAGTTTGGCCCTTTTTGTTCTGTTTTGGTAGCCAGCTTGAAGCATTTGCCTCTCTACAGCAATCCTGCAACCTCTGGTGTCCGTCTGAATTCCCATTGGTGTCTGTCCTGCAGTTGTTGTCTCAGACACCTGAGCACAGGAGAGCTGAGCTGAGGGGTGTGGACAGCCCTGGGCTGGGAAGGAGCATCCGTGGGGTGATGAACACTGTGAACTGCTCATGTGTTTCAATAGGCAAGTTAAATATTGACTAGTCCTGTGTTGAGCCCGTGGTGGTTACAGGAATCATTCCTGGACTCTGGTGATTCCCCATCCCGCCCTTTTCTTTACGGATGATCTTTGTTCAGCTCGGAGTGTTAATTTTCTTCCTTGGCATAAATCATCTTTGATGATTTCTGGGTTGGTGTGTGAGCCCCATGCTGTACATAAATGAATGAGTGACACGAGGAATATCTACCAATGTAGTTATGTTGTATGTAATGTACATAAGGAGAGAATGTATTTTGTTCATTTTTTTCTTAATAAAAATGTATATGCCAGCAAGGGTGTTTATTTAAGGTCTGTTTGTTCACATATCGCTTCTGAGAATGGAAAAATGTCTGTGAAGGTGTTGTAGTGGTGGAGAAATTGTGAAACCAGTGGTGCATTATGTCTGGCCTTGTTCCCTGACATCACTGGTGAGCAGAGTCAGTATCCCATAAATCCAGTGTGTTCCTAACATTTACAACAACTTTTATTGAGGAGGAACACAGAGTTAGAATATAGGCTGCTGCAAACCACTGATTTTTAATATTTGACTTAAACCAAAGTCCTTTTTGTTTTTTTTTCTTCTTTACATGAGCTGAGACTTAACCTGGAACAAAATGTTTTATTTTGGGCACTTGAAGGCAAATAGGGATGAACTGCCCACGCTGCTGCTGCCCTCGAGTGATGCCATTCCCAGCTTACAGATGTGAGGTTTGATTCCCTCCTCCACAGCCTGACCTGAGAGTGAGGAGAGGCTGCAGACCAGGAGTGAGTTGGGATGAAATGCAGAAATAAGGATGAGCTCCCTCTCCCTTCCCTCCGTGAGCCTGAAGGCACCCACAGCTCAAACAAGTGCTCTGGCCGTGGTGGGGCTGCCCTCACCCGCATCAACCCAGCATCCCACCCCTCTGAGTCATCTGTTTTATAAATTAAGTTTTGCACCACTATCACACTTCCTCCTGCATGGGAAAAATACCAGTTTTTCCATGGCTGACTACCATGAAGGTCTGGGTTGGTTTTGCTCCTGCTGGTTCAGTGTCTTCCCATGTAACATCTGCAGAGCAGAAGGTTGTGGCTCTGGAGCACAAGCCCTGCCCACCCCCTTCTCACTCAGCCAAGAAACATTTTACATAAGAATGTTTATTGACAGAAATACATGATGCTTTCAAAATATATTTGTAGGAAAATGCAAGAATAATCTCTACAATCCAGTTCCTCAGTAAATTCCAGTGTAAATCAGACTCCTGTCCCCGTGAGAGATGCTGCTACACAGTACATAAGAGCTCTAGGATATGTGCAAGGTTCAACAGGTAGCCACCTTGGGAATTAGATTTTCCTTCTCCAGTCCCTTATGAATTATGACTTCTGCGTGTCTTCTGTAGGCAACAGTCACAGTTTCAACCTCATCAGTTGGGTCATGGCACTGAGAGCGGGAGATAAAATGGTCCTAAAGTATTTACACGTTCCTTGTGAATCTGAAAATAGAAAAGTCTCTTGCAAGGACCTCTGAGCTGCTTGTAAAACTCTCTCCCAAAGGTAAGAGCAATAATCTCTTTGTACAATGTGTCGGATGTTAAAGCTGTTCTGGGGGAGAGAAGAGGAGCGTGGGGAAGGGAGGAGGGGCAGGGAGGGAGGAAATGCCTTTATTTATTATTTTTGGTCTAACAATTATGGCTACAGCTACAAAGGGAAGGGTTAAGGCCAAAGATGCTCATTGCTGCATTTCCTACCTGATTTTTTTTTTTTTTGTTTTCCAAAAAGAATGTTCTCAACATAAAAAAAAAAAAAAAAAAGTACTGTTTTCTTTTCCTGTGGAAATAGTTCTTTAAATAGGGGAAGGAAAATCTACTATAAAATATTAGTGGTTTAAAAATATGGTGTCTGGAAAAATAAATAAATGTACAATTCCTATTCAAATATAAATCACTATAAGCACTTGCTGAGCAGTTCAGTGGTCTCTGCTCGGAAAGATTTAAGGTTGTTTGATCTCAAGCCTTTGTAGGGTTCTCCTGGAAAGTCTTTGGACCTGATTCATTAAAGCACTTCGGCATCTCTTTGCTGGGAAGGGGGAATCTTTAGGCACATGCCAAAGCCCGACTGCCTGGAGATGCCCTGCCAGGGGTGTCCCCATGGAACACCAGCCCCTGCGACCACAGCGGTGCTGCTGCCCCGTGTTTTTGCTGTGTTTGTTGCCTGGGAGGGACAGAAAGGTGAGGTCACCGACCTGCTGCTCGTCTCTCAGGGCAACTGGGAAGCCAAGACACTCATGGAAGCTGTTGTGGATACCCAGACGGGTTCTCTGAGCCTTGTGGCCACGTTACTGAGCTGAGCTTTATGCTGCCAGAGCAGGGACAAAGCTGTGGCGCAGGGTTACCTGGGCGAGAGGTGTTTTCCTGCTTCCTGTCAAATTCTGATGCCCTACCAGGCTGGCCTTTAGCTTTTCCTTTCTTTTCTTTTTTTTTTTTTTTTTTTTTTTTTTTTTTGGTATTTATTTTAGCTTTTATTTCCCCTCCCCTCCAAAATGACTTCCCCATAGTGCAGTGCACGGGTAAGTGAGGTGTGCAGGATACATCGCTAATGAATAGCAGGAATATTTACATACAAAAATAGAAAGGTTTTGAACACTTCAGACTCTGCCCTTCAGTGCAGGGGAGAAGGGGGAAGAGCCTCTTGTATCTTCTGCCTGTCCTGGGGCTGAGAGAACCACCCCGACCCTCTGCTTCCTGAGTACTCCCAAGGACCAACTCGACCTGATTTCTCCAAGCTTTCCATTGCTTGGCTGTGCTTTTCCCCTCATTCAGGGCAGCCATGGGAGTGGATCCCAGTTGTGTTGACTTGGTGGCAGAGCCCAAAGGAAATCTCCCTGTTGTGCACATGATGAGTGCACAGTTGATGGCAAATGGGAGAGGGAGAGCAGTGCTTGGACACTGCTCTTCTCTGCAGCTCCTCTGGTTTGCAGGGGGCTTGGGACAACCACCATCCTCCTGGTGGGAGGTGTGCTCACCCAGGTGACCTTCTGGTCCTCTCCTCTCTTTCCTGTGTGCTGGAGGATGGGTCCCTGACTCTGCCAGTGCTGAGCTGCTTCACTGGCACCAGTGCAAAGGTGTGAAACTCTCCCCATCCTTTTAGAGCCACTCAGGAGCTTCTGGGAAACAGAAAACCAGAAACAGCCTCAGTCCAGCCATGGGTTTCTTTTCCCCTCTGTAGACTTCAGCAGAGGGAGACCTGGATGACAAACCAAGGGCTGCAGGATGAAGCTCAGTCCCAGCCTTGCTGCTGTGCTGGAAGTTGCTTTGCAGGTCTCTGTTAGTTTACTGGCTTGTGAGGAAGAGCTTCAGAGCTTGGGCTGAGCTTACAATCCTCAAGAGGAGGAAACACCAAGGGCTGTACAGGTGGAAAACCCTGAATGCCACCAGGCTGCCTGGCTCGTGTTTCTTCTGCTCCTTTACCTCTTCTGCTGCTCAGGCAGGAAAACATGAGCACAAAAATCACAAACCACGGTGGGGCACATCACCCATAGGCTCGTGCAGGATGGATGAAGGCCGTGAGGTGCTGCTGCATAATTCCTGGAAGGTAACTGATCATTGTGTAGGGAAATGCAGCACCAGAGATGGCCTCCTGCACCACAAAACCCCCAACATTATGCCTGGCATCGCTCTTGATCTCCACACCCTTCCCAAGAAGGATGAACTCAAGGAATTACTCCTTTTCCTCTCCTTCCCTATCTCATCCCATCAATACAAGAAGCTGCTGCACCTCTCTTGGTTTCCACGTGGGTGTAGGATCTGTTCCACAGCCCTGGGTGACAGGGCTGAGCATCACTTGGCACTGCTGCATCCCTCCCATCCTGCTGGATCCGGATGCATCCACCTGCCCACGGCACAGCGAGGGGCTCTTGTGCGTTTTAGCCGGCGATTTCTGGGAAAAGGATGGAAACTGGATTCAAAAAGAACAGGCTTTTCCAGCTTTTTCCACTCCATACCTGGGTGCTGGGGAGGGCGGAGTGATGACTAAACAGAGGGGTTTTTTGAGCTGTAGTTGCCAGCTGCTGGTTTGCTGTTGGATTTGCTCCCTCTCCCATCCTACTTGCTTTGTTTCTCTTCAGTTTTGAGTCACTTGGTAGCTGGAGGATGCAGTTGGCATGGTTGGATGTGGGATGGGAGGAGACACCAGCAGCTCTTCAGGAGCAAAGCCCCCCTGTTTGCCCATGGCTGTTCAGTTCTGGTGTGGTAGGTGGGTGGGGGGTGGAGGATGCTTGTCTTGATGTGGCCACCAAAGTGTCTTGACTTGATGTGCCCCAGAGGTGTCTTATGCCCCTTCCTCTTCCGTCCTGCAACCCACGTGGTGGCACAAGGGGCCATGATTAGTTCATTAAGGAATTTTCTGGGTTTTTTTAGGGGGGGGAGAATTTTGCCTTATTTTGGAGCTGTGTGTGCGTGTGTAGAAGGATTAAGGGGATTTTTGGGGGGAGTGGTGGTCGTTTTTTGCTTGATCGTGTTCTGCACCCTATAAATGCGTGTCCTCCTCTTCCTCCAGGTCCTCCTTCATGAGGGTGTCGAGAGGAACGATCCAGCTGTCCCCCAGCTCACCGTTGAGGTTCACCTTCTTCTCCTGCATTTCGGAGGAGGTCTCCATCACCTCCAGCGTGGGGTTGTCATGGTAGCCATTCTCCATGGTCTGCAGCTCCTCGGTCAGGCGCTGCTACGAGAAAAGAAAACCCATAAACCCCGCTGGAAAACACCTTGGCCACACTGTGAGTGTCACCTTGAGGCTGTCACCCCCCAGGCAGCTGTGGCAGCTGCCCCTGTAGATTTATATAACTACATATAGGGACTTTCACAGTGAGGTTGAGGCTGGGGGGCAGCGAGGGGATAGCATGGAGCTGGCAAGAGAGAGACTCTGCTAATGATGGGAGGGAGGAAAGAGCAGCCAGAGACATGTGGAAAACCTCCAGGAGCAGCTGCCAGCTTCAGCTTGGTCCACTCAGGACCTTGGAAAGAGGTTGAGTGTTGCTGCCTTGCCCCAACCCTGCATCCCAACTCCTGCCTGCCTAACTCAACTCCGCTCTTCCCCTCCCCTTTCTCCCACCCTGTCCCTTTTTAGCTGTTTTATTATTATTCTCCTCCTTGACCCAGGGGCAGCTCCTACCTTGCAGAAGCTGCTGGCTCTTGCCCCTCCCTAAGCATCATCCCTCCTTATCCTGGAGCTCAGTGGAAACCAAGGAGGGAATGATGGAATCAAGTACTTGATCACCCTGGTCCTTTGATGTGCTTCAGGCTCCAACTCAGCCCTTCATCCCCTGGCAGACCCCCAGCCTATCCTAATTTTGCATCTACTTGGGCTCCTTCATCCTTGTCCTTCCCTAGAGGGATTCAGTGGGGAACTGCAGTCCTTGGTCAGCCCTTTTTGGGACAGCAGGGCTCTTAGTGGGTCCTTCATCCCCATCCTTCCCTGGAAGGATTCAGTGGGGAACTGCAATCCTTGGTGAGCCCTTTCTGGGGAATGTAAAGCTCTCAGTGGGCACCCCTGTTAAAATCTGCCTCGATTTACAGCTTGATCTATTACAGTGCTCCTAGTAAATGTCAGGAGACAGGCGTGGGAGGGAATCCATGGAGAAGGAAAGGGATGATGAAGGAAAACTGCAGGGCTTGGTGCTGGCAGAGGGGCTGCAGAGGCGCTGCTGGGGGTCCCCTGGGTCGCTCACGGCAGGGGAGATGTGGGCAGGGACAGTGGGGTGGAAAGCAGAGAACACACCTGGGCTCTCCCAGGGGCTGCTTCCCTGTGGGATTGCTGGTCCAACCCCCAGAATGACGGATGGATGCTCGGGCAGCGCTTTCTCCCGCCGTGGCAAGGCACCCCCTGGCCATGCAGCAAGGGGAAGGGGGATTTTAAGCTGGGCTTTAGTAGGCTTTTAGTCCTGTTAAAAGCTACTGGACCCTACCAAGCGCCGGAGGTGAGAGCTGGGGGTGTTATGGATGCAGCTCCCGCCCCTCCGACCCCTGTGTTGGAACTCACATTAAAGATCAGGGCCACATGTCCATCATCAAACCCGGGGAGATCAGGGTGGATGTGCTGGGTATTTCCAAGGGAAAACAACGGAGGGGGGAAGGGAGGGAGGGGAGGGAAGGGTTGGAGAAAAAAAAAAAGTAAAATAAAAAAAAAAACTTTCAAATCATTTTTGGAAACGAAGCAGGAGGAAAACAAAATAAACCACCCAAAAACAAAGCCAGGAAGGAGAAATGTGTTTGATTTTCAGAACTTGCATCCCTTGCTTTGGTGGTGCTGCTTTACCCGGTGCCTGGTGGGAATTTACCTCAGGAACATCCAGCTGGGACTGGTACCTGTTCCTCTGCACCAGGATATTTGAGGGACACGCATTCCCATCGCTAAAAATACCCTCTTTCTACCTGTTTTTTGAGCAATATGAGGCAAGAGTTGTTATACTGCTCCCTGTCTGTGCTGGGATATTTTTCATCCCAGTCAGGGAGATTTCATCCAAGGGATGATGAAAACCCAAGGGGACCACACTGCAGGTCAAGCATCTGTTGAGGTCCTGCATCCTCCCCCATTTTTTTCCCAAAAAATCAAGCCTTGTAAATACAGGTAATTCTGATGCTGGTGTTGGTTTGCTCTTTCCTGCCTCCTATGCTCACCTCCTTTACACTGCAAGTATCTAAAGCAAAGGTTGCCTTATCCCTGTGGGGCAAAGACTGGGATCCCTGGGGAAGGATGAACTGGTTTTGGGGGAAATGACTTGAAGTAGGATGCAGGGGTTTGCTTCTTCATTGAGAGGGTGGTTTACCCTGATTACATAATTTGATTTTATCCTTTTTTTTTTTTCCCCTCCCTTTCTGTTTCTCTCTGTTCTGGAGCTGAATCCTCAGCAAGAGCAACTGGGAGCAATGAAAACCCTGGTGCCGGTGCCACAGGGTGTGGGAATGGCCAGTCCTTGCAGGTGGATGCTGCACTAAAATCACCCAAAATTGCTTCCTGAGATAAAAATTACATTATTTTCGTTTTCCATGTCCTGTTCTTCCTTAAATCCTGCTGCTGCTGCTCTGAGGTTTGGCCCTGGCCCAGCTCTTACAAAGGCTGAGCTGTGCAGGGTCGATGCCCTCCTGTGGATGTTCTCCTTCCTCCCTCCCCCCCTGCACACAGCCTCGGGCTCCCTGGCATCCCTGGGAAGGCATCGAGGTGATTCTGGGCACCCACTACTCATAAAAGTATTTCAAGAATTTTTTTTTGGGGGGTATAGGTGGTTTTGGAGGGGGGTTTTGGGTTGAGAAAGCCTTTCTTGTCAAAATTATGACCCAAGGGTGCTGGTGACCCAGCTGTGCTGTGCCCTGGGTGGCAGCAGGGATGAGTGCCCGGCCTCTCCTATTCCTGCTTTTCATCCTGGCTGCTTTCCTCCCCCAAAGAAGCAGCTCTTGCCCCTCAGGAGCACCCACAGCACTTGGGCAACCCTTGAGCGAGGGTGGTGCCCACTGGGCGAGCCAGGATGTCTCCACCAGCGGAGACGGCGACCCTGGTGATCCTCCATCTCCTGAGGGGGATGAAAAGGTCTCGGGATACCCGTCCCACCCCCTGCCACCTCACCTGGTCCTTCTTCTGGGAGAAGCGCTGGTGGCAGCAGCCGTAGATGGCGGCGATGAGCAGCAGGGAGCCGGCCAGGGTGACGATGGTGATGATCAGGGGGGTGCTGAACTCGTCGATTATCGCCTCCCTCTCCGTTTTGTCGTTGGTGACGTTGGCGATGCCGATGCCCAGCTGCCACACAAGGGACAGGTCAGGCCCCGGAGCCACCCACCCACTGATGCACCTCAGGGCACACCTGCCCTGGGGAAGCTGTGCTGTGAGCAGGGACCCACTTACCTGCTCTAACTTGTCCTTCCTCTCCAGCTCCTCGAGGATGTTTTCAGGGTGCAAAGGGACTGGGGGAAGAAAGAGGCTGCAGTGAGCACAAGGCGGCGGGGGGGCAAGGTCGTGCCACCATCCTCTGCTCTGTGGGGTGATCCTCTTTCTGGAGATGTGTGGGCATGAAGCCAACCCTTTTAGGTGCTTCACAGCCAGACAAGGAGCCAGGATCTCTTGGAAGGGGGACAACCCTCAGTCCCCACCATCCCCCAGCCCCAGGGGGTTGGGGGCATCTCCAGTGGGTGATTTATGAGAGAGGCCAACGAGGAGCTGTTACCAGCTCCTTCAGGCCATGCCAGAGCAGTGCAGGATTAGTCCCCAGTGCCTGGCTGCCTTGCCTTAGGTCAGATGCTGGAGGCTGGACTCCCCACCTAATGCATGGTTAGGTTACCCTGATGATGAGGAAGGGGGGGAAGGAGCTCAGGCCTTCCTCGCCTTCGTGTTACAGCAGCAGGATGTCTCCTTCTGCCTGGCACCCTAGTCCTAAAGCAACATTTGGGCATCCCAGGGCTGAGATGGATTTCCCCAAAGGGCTGTGACATGGGCAAGAAACTCCCCTCTGTGGTCCCTTAGGGAAGGATTTGAACTGGGCACTGGATTTTAACCACTTGGGAGGAATTTTTCATCCTGGAGGCTGGTTTCCCACCTTTAGGCATCGTGGATGGGAGAGGGATCTGGTGCCTTCCTTGGAGAGAAAAGCTCATTTCTGGAGTCTTCTGAGCCAATGGGATGGGGCAGCCCAAGGAACAGAGCCCCTTGGCCAAGCCCCACCAGACCTGAGGGTTCTGCCAAACCTCCACCTGCATCCCCGTGCCAGGGTCCCCAGTGCCAGTCCCATCCTGTCCCACTCCGGGCAGGAGGGCAGGGTCATACTCACGGTGCAGGACCACCTGCACGTCCCAGCGCTGGGACTGTGGCTCGTGGGACAGCAGTGTCACCGTGCAGCTCTCCCTGCTGGCGTCGAACGTGTGCCGGCCCGTCGAGCACAAGCTCTCGAAGAAGGAGATGTTGGCGCTCGCCGTCCTCCACTCAGCCTGTGGGGACAACGAGGGTCAGCACTGTCCCCCCACCCAGGGACTGCCCAGGAACACCTCACCCCTTCAACAGCAATGGGAGATGTCCCATCTTCTAAGAATGACCCCTCCAAGGGAAGACTGGACGTGGCACTCGGTGCCACGGTCTAGTCGACACGGCGGTGTTCGGTCACAGGTTGGACTCGGTTACCTCAGAGGTCTTTTCCAACCAAATTCCCTCAGTGATTCTGTGATCTTCCCTCATCCCTTTGCACTGCCCGGCTGCTGCCGGCCCTCCCAGGGAACAGGAAAAGTTTAAAAGTAGTTTCTTTACAAGAAGCCGAGCTCTTGGCCGCAGTTCCTCACCGGGGCCCTGCACCAGCCTTATCTGTGAGCTGCAGCCTTCGGCATTACAGGAATAGCAGGTCCCTGAGGGAAGCAGGGCGGGGGGGCTGGGGAGGCTGAGGGGCCACAGTGGCAGCAGGGCAGGGCTGTGCAGCCCCACTGTTCCCCCACAGGCACCTTCAGCCTTTCTGCCGCCTGCATTTCTACCAACACGGGTCCCTGTCCTTAGAGCTTCCTGACTTCTCCATGGGGAAGAGCAAGAGACTGTTTTGCTTTTGGATAGAATTATAAAATGGATCACTGAATGGTTTGGGTTGGAAGGGACTTTAAAAAAATCATTTAGTTCCACGCCCTTGCCACGGGCAGGGACATTTTTTGCTAGACCAAGTGTCTCCAAGTCCCATCCAAACAGGCATTGGACACTTCCAGGGATGGAGCATCCACAGCTTCTCTGGGCAAGCAGGAGTGTCCCTAGGGGGAGTAGCCTGGTCAGCACTGGAGGAGTGGTAAAGGGGTAGGTGGAGCCCATGGTCCCTCTGAGATATTCCTGAGGCTTTCTGTATCTGCTCAGCACTATGTAGCAACTGGGAGCTCACTAGAGACCATCACCCTCCTTCATGCACAGATCCCAAAGCGTGGATGTGGCACTAAAGGACATGGTTTAGTGGTGGGTTTGACAGTGTTGGGTTAGTGGTTGGACTCAGTGATCTTGGAGGGCTTTTCCAGCCTTAATGATTCTATGATTCCATGCACAGACCTGGCCTCCACAGGTCCTATATGGAACATGCTGCATATACAGCTCCTTTGTGCACAGGTGCTCGTGCACAGGGGCTTGCCTGCAGAGTCCTGTGTGTAAAACTCCTCAATCCATGCTGAAACGAGGTGGCTGGATGGGAAAGGCTCTGCTCCTGCCAGCTCCATTCCCCCAAAACCTTCCCCTCCCTCTCCAACACCGCCGGCGGCCGGCAGCATCCCCCCCCCCAAACCCTCCCCCCCCCTCCCCAACCCCGCCGGCGGCCGGCAGCATCCCGCCTGCTGCACCACAAGGATGGGAGCTGCCCGGCCGAGGAAGGCACCTAATCTCACCCCATCTTATCTAAATATTTGGGAAGCAGTCAGTGGAGACAGGATGCACTTGCCGGGGCGGAAGGCCGGCCCCGGGTACAGTGCGAGGGTGAGCTCAGCACTCGCTGTCCCCGGGAACCTCGCCTGTCCTTTCGCTTCGCACCGGGAGAAACCTCCCTCGGGCCTCTCGGGAGCTGTGCCATCCCGGGTGCGTTCCTGGGAAAAGAGCTGCACGGGAAACCTGCCCCCGGGGCAGCAAGACGAGGTGGCATTCCCTAGAAAGCTGGTTCCCAACAGGACAGGGAGGAGGGGGCTGTGGCTTGGTCGTGGCGGTGGTTTTATCACGTCTGGACGCTGGGTGTTGCTCCTACGCCTGGAATGTCCTGAGGTTTATCAATCCCTGGCTGTGCGGCGCTTTCTGCTCGGCTGAGGCAGGGAAAGCCTCTGCTGCCTCCCTGCATCCTCCTTCCCCCGCAGCTCTGCATTCCCCCAGCCCTTAATAACCCACTTCTCTCACTACCACTCTGTGGGGGGAAAAAAAAAGCTTTTAAAGTGTTTTTTTCTTGGGTGGGAAAGGAAATTGGATGCGAGGCTAAAACGCAACTGAGCACCAAAACCACTTCACTGCCGGCTGGTGAGCAGCGCCCAAACCCCCTCCGAGGCTGAACTGGAGGGACTGACCCTTTCCAGGCTTGAAGAGGGGCAGGGTAAGGCCGCTGAGCCGGCAGGGATGCCCTGGCAGCTCTCCCCTCCCCACTCGCATTCCTTGGCCGGAGTTGAGAGGCGCTGCCGAGCAGCTCGGATCCGGTTCCCACACTGGCGGGGACCTAAAACCAACATCCCCGAATGAGGTAACAGCACTTGAGTCAACAAACCAGCCCCGCCAGCTGGACAGGGCGAGGGGGACCACGACCCTCCTCGGTCAGGGGGTCCCTCCACCTGCTCCGGGCAATGTCCTGCTGTGCCCAGACTGGTGGGTGTCACACAGAAATTCCCCCAGTAAAGGTCAGGTGTTCCTGCTGTTGCTTTTGCAATCCCCACTGCAGCAAGTTGTCCCAAGCATCCACCGGCTCAGCTCCCTGGGCACATCCACAACCCGGTGGATGTGTCCCCCGGTGGGGGACACGATGGAGGAGGACCAGTGACTCCCTGGGAAGTGGCCACAGGGTCATGTGGCACAACCATAGCTCGGGCTGCACCAGCCACCTCTGACATCATCACCTCTTGCTTCACCTGACTCATTTTGGGGCTGGGATGAGGAGCAGAACACCCATCTGTACATCCACCCATCCGTACATCCATCTCTTCCAAGGAGGGAGTTACTCAAGCAGCCAAGAAAAACCCAACTGAAAATACCTGACAGCCAGTCCTTGGGAAAAGGCATCCTGTGGAATGTGAAGCATCAAGCTAATAAGCCTTATTAAAAAAAACCAAAACATTAAGATCCTGCTCTAATCAAAGGAAGGAGAAGGAGAGGGTGGGGGATACATGGACCAAACTGTTCAGGGCTGGTTCAAAGCATCACCTGAAGAGGAAGGATGCAGGGAACCAACCAGCCCATAAAATATATTTGATCCACAAAGTGGTACCAACTGTACATTTGGCTTTTGTTTATTATTTATAGTTTGAGTTCCTTTTTATTTTTAAATTTACTGGAGAAACTGAGGTGTGATGGGGCGAAACGTCCACAATTCCTGGGTTCAGTCCCAACTGTTTGTTGGGGTCTTTGCATCAATGTTGCTGCCCCACGAGCCCAGCCACGGAGTGAGTGGCTGCACAGTGCCTTCTCCCTTGCCATGTGTGATCTGGACATGTCCCCCACCACTGGTCCCCCACGTTGCCCTCGATGCTCCCCTGGCTTCTTGCTGGATCTGAATTTTCAGCACAACGCCGCCCCAACTCTGGCTCAGGGTTGGAGCCGTTTCTGGAGCCACTTCTCCTTATAGCACACACTTTCCTGTTTTCCCACGGGCTGTGAAACGCAAAGGATTTTTTCACTTTGCTGTCAGGATTTGGCTGGGGACATGTTTACCAGGGCCTACAAAGCAGGGAAGCTGCATAGTGCCATTTCTCTGTTATCTGCTCCGCTGAGGAGGCACAAAACCCGTCGCAATTTTCAGGAATCCGACGAGTGGAAGGTTGATAGGAGTTGTTTTGGCAGCCCAGGAGGGTGGTGCTGTGGGAGGATGCACCCTTGGAGCCTTTCTGTGGCTGTTTTGAGGCATAATTGGCATTTTGTACTAACAGTGATTCGGCTCATTATTAAGCCCAGAGGAATCAAAGGGAAACGGGACGACGGACTCGCTGCTCACCAGCTCCAACACTCCATTGCCCCATGGAGTGGGCACAGAGGAGTGATGGATGAGGCCAAGCTGGGATGTTTGCCCACTCCCTAACTCACCAGTGCTTCCAAAAAACCCTCCAGCAAAGCCATGGGAAGGACAGCGGCTCCATAACTGTACCCACAAGGAAGAGGGAAGCATTAAACACTGGCATGGTCATAACTGATCTCAGGCTCCAAAACTGGGTTTTGTCAATCTCTTTAAATATTTTTTTTCTATATATTCAGTATAAAATTTGGCAAGAAGCTTTCCCAGCATGAAACCTGCAGCCACGTCCAGACACTGCAGGGGGAAAGGGGTGGTCCCAGGAGAAACTGGGGCATCGTGGTAATAAGGTCCCCCCTTGGAATCATCCTCAGCGTTGACAGCAACACTGAGAACACCATCACTTCTCTGGGTGTGTGGGCAAGGAGCACTTTCAACCAGCAGCAGCCCAAGTAGAAAGGTGATGACCATGAGATGGCAGCAGAAGCAGGTGCTTCCCCTCCTCCAGGAGCACCGTGGGTGCTGTCAGGAGGTCCAAGCCCTCTCCAGGGCTGCCAGGCAGGGCCACCACCAAGGCACAGGGAATTTCCAGAGCTGCTGTGGTCAGCAGGAATGACTGTGCTCGTCTCAGCCTGTGTCTCAAGGGGTTTTATGAACAGTGTGGCTTCACTTGGTGAAGAGAGTCATAGGACAAGGGGGAATTGTTTTAAATTAAAAGAGGAGAGATTTAGATTAGATGTTAGTAAGAAATTCTTGGCTGTGAGGTTGGTGAGGCCCTGGCACAGGTTGCCCAGAGAAGTTGTGGCTGCCCCATCCCTGGAAGAGTCCAAGCCCAAGTTGGACAGGGCTTGGAGCAACCCAAGCTAGTGGAAGGTGTCCCTGCCCATGGCACAGCCTGTGACCACATCCCTGAAATGCCAGTTTCCTGATGCTTAGACTGTCAGAAATCAGGGCATTATAATGCCAAAACCCACCCCTGAGCCCCACCCAACAGCTCAGGTGTGTCCTGTCAGGACCTCACCAGCCAAGTGGCGTCTCTTCCTCTTTATCATCAGCCTAAAACTTCATCCTATTTAGAAGTTATCAGTATTTTGCATCTTCCCTAGTACAGGAGACTCATAGTTTTCACAAGAACCACTTTGAAGGTGGATATCCCTCAGGAACACCAGCAGACCCACCAAAAGGGGTCTTGGTGTGCAGACTTGTGTTGGGCTTGCCTGTCCCCAGCGTTGGCACTACATTTTGCTACTCCCTGGTCTTGTACAGGGTCCAAAACAAATGAAATGGAGTTTTTTGCTCTCACTTTAGGGTTCTGTGAGAGCTGATACAGCATCAAGGAGCACAGTGAGTCCCAAACTCCAGGTTCCAGTGCTTCCCAGTTGCTCTGCAGTCGGATGCTGCCCTAACCCAGTGTGAGGTTGCAAGGTCTCACCAACTACACAACAACTCTGGAGCAACACCACAGTCCTTTCTTACCTTTTGGAACAAAATTTCTGCCCCTCAATTAAGGCAAAAAGTTCTCCTGTCAGGATTTGCGTAGGGAAAGATTTACCCTTTAAAATTTCCCATTTAACTTTTTTGTAAGACCTCTGAGGGCTCAGCTGCTCCTTCAGCTTGAGGAAAAAAACCACATGGGCCTCTTCTCCTCCTGCCACATCCCCCACTGGCTGACACTGCTGAACGTGGGTTTGCATTCACCATTTTACATTGGTCACATCTTATTTTGATGAAATTACTCTCATTTCTGAGCATTTTCTCACGTGCTCAGAGCAGCAGCTGATCTCCCCTCACAACTCAGCTGCTAATCCTCCATGGAAGTCCAAAAAGGTGGTACTTACACAGGTTTTGGCTTCTTTCAGATACATGGTGAGCCAGTTGTTTTGCACCTCTACAGGTGCACCTTTAGCATCTTTGCAGATGACCTGGAAAGACAGAAGAAAAGCAACTCTCAATGGCTGGGAAAGGTTGGAAGGACAGTTGGTCCCTGATTTAATTGCCCCAAGCCAGGAGATGTCCCAGCAAAAGCTCTGCTCCATTTTATGGACACGAGACAGGCCCAGGAGCCCTTCACTCAGCCCTTTATATGTGGAAAGGGTTTTCACAGATGACTGACACAACTGTCTGTGGAATGTTTGCTAATGCCCTTCCCAGACCAGGCCTAGGATTTGCAGTATGGGGTAAAGCAGGAATTGCATGGGGAGTAGGAAGATCCATGCCAGCAGACTGTGATGCAGCCCAGCCCCACAAAAGATGATCATCCAGAAACAGGATCCCCTTCCCAGCACTTTGGTTATCCTGAATTGTGTTTTGAGACCCCCCAAATTTCTCAAATCACTTTCTGCTGGTATCATCCACGTGCTGTTTATGCTGAGTTGTGATCTTTGCCCTCTCATCAAGTCCAAGTTCACACCAAGGCAGCTTCTGCTCTCCATAATGCCTCCCTCCTTCCCAAATTTCACTTCTTCCCTGTTCAGCATCCAGACCATAATCTCAGAACCATTGAATCATTTAGGTTGGAAAAGCCTTCTAAGATCATCCAGTCCAACCATTCCCCCAGCACTGCCAAGGCCACCACTAAACCATGTCCCCAAGTGCCACATCCACACGGCTTTTAAATCCCTCCGGGGATGGGGACTCCACCACAGCCCTGGGCAGGGTGTTCCAAAGCCTGACCACCCTTTCAGAGAGAATTTTTTTACCCAATATCCAATCTAAACCTCCCCTTACACAACTTGAGGCCATTTCCTCTCAACCTGTCACTTATTACCTGGAGGGAGTGACCAGCCCCCACATCACTAAAACCTCCTGCCAGGGAGTTGTAGAGAGCAAGAAGGTGCCCCCTGAGCCTTCTTTTCTCCAGGCTGAGCCCCCCCAGCTCCCTCAGCTGCTCCTCATCAGACTTGTGCCCCAGACCCTTCCCCAGCTCCTTTCTCTTCTCTGGACATGCTCCCCTTCACCTCCATCCTCTGTGTCTCTTCACTGGAAAGCTACAGGAGAAAGGGATGGGACTAAATGACCTTTAAAGGTACTCCAGAGTGCCCACCTTCCCACAGGTGTCATTACCTCATTTTGGAAAGAAGTGTTCAGGTGCTGGTGGCCAGGACTGCTGGGCACTGTGTGGTCCCCTGGGGCTGGGGGGGATGGCTGGGCACTGTCAGGGCCCCGGGAGGCACTGGTGGGTTTGGCTGATGTAGGTCCAACATCGTGGCTTCTCTGGTCTGAGTCCTCTACATGCACCAAAAAAAAAAAACAAGCAGGGAGACACTGTTACTGTACAGAGGATACAGCTGACACAGCTCTGGTAGGGATCAGCTGAAAATAAGCTTTCAGCTCTAGCCCTGCCTTGAGGATCATTGTGTCAAAGCTTGGAGAGGCTTTGGGTTGCTCCTTTTAATTTATTTATTTATTTATTTTAGATTAACTTTGATATAGAAAAAATATCATTCCTGACTTTACTTTCTGCTGCTGAAACCCATCAGAGTGTTCTGGAGAGCTGAACCCAAAGTCTGTGATGGCTGTGTGTGGGTAGCTGGGTAATCACCTAAAAAAGAAGCATGGGATGACATTCGTTTCACTTGATCTGGGGTGTCTTCCATGAAGGTTTCCTCAACAGAGGCAGACCTGGCTACCCAAAATCTCCCAACCACCTCCACTGGGAGGGGATGAAGTGCCACAGCCTCTGTTGGCTGCACCTCCATGGAAGAAGTCCAGGGAGACATTTAGAAGTAGTGCCTGGTGCTAAGTGAGACAGCCTGGGGTGTCCTGCCTGCCTGTTACTCCAGGAGGGCACAAGCCCCATGTCTACCACCCTCATGCAGGTGTCTCAGATCTGAGGGACCTCAGATGATTTTGTAAAGGTCTGGAGCATCTTAGAATTATCTGTGCAATGGGAGCAGTGCAAGGAGCATAGCAGCCTCCTGCCTCCCCTGTTCCCTTTGAAGACATGGATCTTCATCCCTGGGTTCCTAATTGAGCCTTAGATGATGACAAAGAGAAATAAAATGGTACAGGATGTTCACAGCCTGTTTGCTTTTGGGACTCCTGCCTCTTCCACAGAAAAGATGAGGGATATTTCTCTCCCAGACACATTCTGAAGGCTCCAGGAGAGAATTAATTCCAAAGCCATCTGTTTCTCTTACATTCCCTCACCTAGTTATTAAATATAAAGGGTTTTTTAGACCTCTTCAGGCTTAATGCTTGAGGTCAAATTTGAATTAACATATTTTCATATATCATCCTTTAATGAAGAGCAGTCCTGTGGAGCAGGAGGGGAATGAAACATCCTTCATGATGATACTCATTTCACCTCCTTATGGCTGCTAAAATGCTCAAAACATGACTTAGGTGAATCCAGTGAAGATGGTCTTGCATTAAGACCTTGGCCCATTCAGTGATGCCAACAGCAGAAGGGGATGGAGATGGTTTTACAGTGGCTTCTTTATTCCAGGTAACTGGAAATTGGTTCAAGAATTACATTCTCCAGGGGAAAATGATGAAGGGCTTCAGTGTCATCACAGCTTTTATTCAGAGACAAATGGGAGCTGAACCCACAATCCCAGCCAAGTGTGGAAGGCTCCATGGAGCTCTCACACTCCCACAGGGTGACTCCTTCCCTGGGAATGCTACCAGAGAAAATGCCAAGGGGGACACTAAACTGTGCCTCAGCAGGGCATTTGTAACTAACATGACTCTGTAAAGCTCCAGAGATCTAAACAAAATATATTAATGGTGTTCAGCAAGATCCTGAACACCACATGGACACTCCTAATGCTGCTTAGACAGAAGTCAGCAGCCAAACCCCTCCCGCAGCAGTGAGGAATGTCCTCCCCAAGTGCTTAGACTCTTTTAGAGGTTGCAGACTCAGAGTTTAGCCACAAAATCTCCTTAGTCATCTAAAGCTCATTTGCTGTGCATGCCCAGACAGCCTTCACTAAGCTGTCAGCTGTACTAGGGGTCTCCTACACTCAACATTCCGGGTGCTGTCAGACTGTTTCACCAGCTCTGCAGTGTCGGTCCCCACCCCTGAACCCATCGCTGCTGGCCCCCGTCTGCTGTCACTGGAGATCGAGTCACTGCAGTTGATGGTGCCCTGGGCACTGCTTAGTCCATCCAAAAGCCACTGTCAGTGCTTTGCCAGTTGATTCTTGCCTTGAGTTTCACTGACTGCATTGACTCGACCTCCGCCGACGGCAACAGGGACCTAAATGCAAGGATGTCACAGAGACAACCAGGCTGGGAAGTCCTAAAACGAGACGAGGTGATGACACCCCGTAATGACAGGATAGACAAAGGGAAAGACCACAAAAGGGCCTCCCAGCACAAGAAATCAAGGTTCTCATCTTCTGGTACCTGCTCCAGGAGTCAGTGTGGTGGCTGCCTCTGGGCTCTTGTGGATGCTGCCAGGTGGTGAAGTCGGAGATGTTTTACTGGTGGGGAGGGGCAGAGATCCACTTAAAGGGGTAACAGAAGGGTTGGTGCTTCCAGGTCTGGTGGAAGAGGCAAGGTCCTGGGCTGGAGAACTGGAAGAAGAATGAGGCTGCTTGGTGACATGTGTAGAAAAAGGGGCATGGTCCTTGGGGCCAAGGGCAGAGCTGCTGCTCAGGACTCCGGTGCTCTCAGTGGTACTGGCCAAATGATCCGGAGGCTGGCCTCCCTGAGCATCTGACCTGGAGGTGGCAGCAGCCCCTACACCTCCTTGGGTGGCTGGAGGGCTGCTCACATGAGTGAGGACAGGGTTTGCAGTAGTGGTGGTCCCCAAGCTTCCCGAACTGACTGTAGGACTGGTCTGCTGCTCGGCAGCAGCAGGGGCTGCAGCAGGGCTGGCTGTGGATGCTCCAGAGCTGGCTGCAGAGCCGGCCTGCTGGGAGCTGGGGGGTGATGTGGTGGGGGCAGGTGTTGGGTTTCCCTGTTTGGTGGTGGTGGTGGCCCCTTGCACTGTGGTAGGCGATGATGCAGGGGTGGATGGGGTGGTTCTCAGAGTGGTTGCAGTGGTGGTGCCTTGAGCAGCGGTGGGTGATGTGGCAGAGGGTGCAGGGGTTGCTGGCTTGGCTGTTGTGGTGGTCGTTTGAACTGTGGTAGGTGACTTAGGTTCGGGTGGTGTGTCTCCTGCACTGCTTGTAGGGGTGGTCACTTGTGCCTTGCTGGTGCCTGTGGTCGTGGTGATGGTGTCACTTCCATCTGGACCTGCAGGAGCTGGATCATCCTCACAGCTGGCACCTGAGGAAAGGTAAAAATGCCAAGATAAACCGTGAACTAAGGAAGCTGCCCTTGGTTCCCACCCAGAACGGGTATTTGTAGAAATAAATGCTGCCCACAAACCCTGAGTCATTCACTCGGGGCTTGCCTCGTGCTCTCTGAACTCATATCAAATTCCACATTCTGGTGTCACTGTGAGGAGGAGACCCGAGGAACCTCCATGACAAACGTACTCAAACTCACAGGACTTCAAAGTGTGAGCAGGAGGACAAGACCTGCTGGTTCCCAGAAGGCAGGTCCCTCTCACATGGCAGGTCCACCACCTTCTATGCAATGCCCTGCAAGTGATTCCCAAAATGAAGCAGATCCAGCCCTTACAAGGGGCCAGCAAGGGATGTGCCGAGTGTGTTTGTCCAACCCTGTTATGAGGGTCTCTCACATCCCTGAAGTGGTGAAGATAAATTAGGTGACACTTAGAATCATAGAATCATTAAGGTTGGAAAAAGACCTCCAAGATCATCGAGTCCAAACAACCACCTCCCATTATCCTACATAAGGAGATCTGTGGTTGGTTTCTGAAAAATACTTTAAGTTCTTAGATGATGAAGCTGTTTCTTAGAGGGATTCAGCTGAAGGACAGCTTTCCTGACAAGAGAGAACCCTCTGACAGCAGAGAGCTCTGCAACATCCCACAGCTCTAAAAGGTGGTACTTTCACTACTAGACCAATATAAAACCTTGGGTCTGTTTTTCTGCTTGTAATCACTGCAGGAGCTCCATCAACTGCTGCAGAGGTAATTTCTCCACGTGGTAACCACCAGCTCTGGGCTCTTGCTCAAATTCACCCCAGGAAAGGTTTGACCAATATTTCACCTCTCAGGAACCGCAGGCTGCACTGAGCCACTTTATCCATGGATCCTGTCTGGAGTCAAGGCAACAACCTGATTTTGAGGGGGAGGGGGTCTTCCATTTGGTGACTGTACAGAAGAATGCTATTTTTTTCCTTCATGAAGCATCTGTACATTATTTCCAGCCCTCCCAAACAGGAGACACACTTCCAAGATCTGATTTGCAGCCTAATGCTGCTCTCCAGAGATGTGCTTCGTTCCTCTGTGCCGGCACAACAGCAAAGGATTTGCTCTCACAGAACCTGCCCATTAGCACTGGTTGTGTGCTAATGTCAAGGGCCTGATGAAAGCTCAAGTTTCTGATGGGAAAAACTTAACCCCACCATGTCAGGGCCTGGTGTGGTGGAGTTATGTTTGAGAAGGACTCGAGGAGTGGGATTTGGGGTGGGGAGGCTGCAACAGATTTGAGGTCCGGTGGAATGGAGAGGAGAGGGTCGGAGAGGAGAGGGTCAGAGAGGGTTGGAGAGGGTTGGAGAGGGTTGGAGAGGGTCAGAGAGGAGAGGAGATTTCAGTTGGAAGGGACCTGTAATGATCTGCTAATACAACTGCCTGACCATTTCAGGAGAATCATAGAATGGTTTGGGTTGAGAGTGACCTTAAGGATTATACAGTTTCAATCTCCTGTTGTGGCAAGGACACCTTCCACTATCTCAGGTTGCTCCAAGATCCATCCAACCTGGCCTTGAACACTTACAGGGATGGGACAGCCACAGCTTCTCTGGGCAACCTGTACCAGGGCCTCACCACCCTCACAGGGAAGAATTTCTTTCTAATACCTCGTCTAATCCTGTCCTCTGTCATTTTAAAGCCATCCCCCCTTGTCCTGTCACTCCATAAAAGTGCAGACCTCCTCCTGAAATACTGTTCCTACTCTTGTTTCCCCATCAGCCTCTGGGAGCAGCCATTCCCATCCCTGGAAACACCATCAAGATGTGAATTTAACTGAAACTAGCAGCATGAATTATTTTAGGAAACACTTGGCTTGTGAGAGAACATTTCCATTATATCTGCAGGAAAAGAGCTTTTGTGGAGATAAGTCATATTTCCTATAGGCTGACCGCTGTCTGCAGGAGAAGGAAAGGTAAGGAAGCAAAACACCGTCACAGGGATCTGACAGATAAACCCCAAGTGCCAAAGACAGGAGGGAGTTTTGATCTACCCACCTCCTCAGTTTTATTATCAACCTGTGTGCCTTGAATCTGAATCCTCAGTGATGGCTGCACCATCACTAGAGAGAGACCAGGCACCCAGTGAGCCACAAAATGGGTCTGTCCCATAAATAGGGTGTAAAACTTCGTTGACAACAAAAGAGGTAAAGCAAAAATATCCCCTAAACGTAGGAACAATACATAAAAGAGATGTAAATAAAGAAAGGGTTGGAAGCAAAGGGGAAATCACCCACTGCTCTCGCTTCCTCTTCGTGCCACAGCCCCATCCCAGAGAGGCAGAAAGCACAGGCACCAAAGAGAAGTCAGAAAGACAATTCCATTCAACCCTGTCCACAAGAGAAGGGGCCGTGCTTTGGCTCTGGGCCAGGCCCAGTGGCCAGCTGGGACCTTGTGGTCCAAGAAAATAGGATCCCTGCCCCAGCACTTCCCCGCCTCGACCTGGGGAGCTGCAGATAGTTTTTTACCACTTTAAACTGGAAAGGGAGGCAAAAGCCCAAATCAAGGGATGCAGAAATCTGGCTTGCCCTGGCTGGTGTGCTAGCTGGGCTTCTTTTGAGGTGCACAGGGTGACACTGCCCAAAAAAATAACTGGGAGAAGAACCAAGACTCAAGTTGATGCCCACAAATCTTACTGGTGTTTTATCTTTCTGCATCCACTCCTGGTTTTCCTCTTTGCTAAGGTCAAGAGATGTTAAAAGACCAATTTATTCTTCTTTGTTAAACCAGGACCAGTGATTTAAGTGGGATTTAAGCAACTCGAGGAGTTAGCACACTCCTACTTGGAAGTGGGGAGCAGCCATGGAGGGGGATGGATGGATGGAGGGATTGAGGGATGGATGGATGGACTCAATGGGTGCCAACCACATGGGCAAGTAGGACACTACACATCCTATACATCCTACTACATGGCCATGGCTAAACTCGGGCAATATTTGGTGTCACAGAGGTAGAAATCACTCTCCTCTGGTGGGTAATGATCTGCATCTCTTTGGTAAGTGGCCACACAAACCTGCTCCTGCTCTATCAGGCTGGATGGGACCACTGGAAAGGGTCCCACTGGACCTCCCAATGGTCCATTGGGATGGACCTCCCAATGGTCCATTGGGATGGACCTCCCATCCCAAACTTGATCTGAAGGTGATGTTTCTTTAATAACCTCCACCCCAGCTCAGCTGGGCTGCTACCAAATTCTCCCTTTCCCCCTTCTTTCCTCCGCAGATTGCTTGTCTCAAAGCAGACTGTTTTAAAGAATGACTGTTGCTGGCTGAAATGCAGCAGCTGTGGTGAGCAGCAGCCATAGGAAGAAGAAATCCAGGCAGGTTGCAAACTTGACAGTCCAAGAAAATGTGCAGCGCTGTGGCCTGGACTCACAGCAAGCCAACGGCAAGAGTGTGGCTATGAGTTGGTAAAATCCTCCTTCCACAGAGGACCAACACCTGTATCCATCCCCACACCTGTGCTGCAGGTTTTTGGGCACCTTTCTCTCAGCCAAATTTACCTTTTCTCTGCATCTGCATTAGGTTAATCTGTTTTCTCACTGCTGCTCAAGGAGTCAAGTGCTGCTGCAGTCACGGGGCTCAATGCCCTTCTGCAGTTTTATTGCTCTGAGCTCAACATTAGGTGTTTGCCCAGGGACTCTCTCACTGCAGCACTGGAGAAAAATGTATTTTACTTAGAAAAATTGCATGGTTTTGGTGTCTTGCAGGTTCACCACCTGCAGAAGGCCTAGCTTAGGCAAAATGATTGCAAATGTAAATCCAAAGCAGAAACAAATACAGAACAAGCAGTGAGAGCACAAAAATCCCAGGAGTCACTGTTTTCCTTCATGTACTGTATCCCTTTAAATGCCAGAGAATGATGTTTTTATCTTTTCCTCCTTCACTGGCCACCTGTGCCAAATTTTGCCAGTGGACCCAGGGGTAATAACTGGTAACAAGCCCCTGTTTGCCTGGGCTGGTGGCCAGCATTGCCTGACAAATGTGCTCAACAGAGGAATCAAAAAGGTTCTGGTTGGAGGAGGAGAAAAGCCCTGTGACCACAGACTGGTGGTAAGAACAACCAGACAGGACAGGATTATGTTCAGTGCCCCTTCAGCATGAAAATCACTCACAAAAGATACAGTAAGTCTTTTTGCAGGAAACAAAGTGACCCCTTCACGGAGATAAAAGGATTTAACACATGCCATGAGAGAGGAGATCCTCCAAGTTATCACTCCCTGCACCCGGAGGAGATCCTTTCCAAAAGAAAGTTCACTTGAATTTCAGCCAGGGTCCCTCACCCTGTTTTCCAAAAGGCAGAAAAAAAATACTACCTGCCCCTGACCTTCCTGGCTGCATTTTGGCACGACAAGGCCACTTCTTTGATTTCACTTTTTGGACCGTCACCAACTTGTCATTTGGGGGAAAATGAGAGGAATAGAGCAGATAACAGGGTATTTTGAGAGCACTGGTTGCAGTGAGTCTGAAGCTTTGATCTGCACTTCTTCTCTCACGTGGGGCACTCAGAAAACCCAAACCTTCTGTGCTGGGAGTGGGGCAGACCCACAGGAGGAGAGGGTGAGCCCTCCACAGGCGCATCCGTGAGCACGGCGGCCAAACAGCCCAGAGGAAATGAGTCCCCTGCATAAACATGATTTCATGTCCGGATATGTGCATCCCATGACTGTGCCTGGGATATGGTGTGGCCGTGATGGGGACAGCCCCAGAGGGGAGAGAACTTTCCCTTATTGCTAATTATCCAGATGGGCTTGTTTGGCCCACAGTGTTTGGGAGGCTGGAAGTGCCACCGTGGGTGCTCCTGGATGGGGCTGGTGTGGGAGTTCTCCGGTCAGGAGCTGATAGGATTTGAAGAGCCACCCCAAATGTAAAAGGAAAGATGTGCTGGTCTGTGCCAACACAGCTCCTTACAATAGCAGTTACAGGCAGAATTTTGAGCTGCTGTGCACC